TTGACGAGATACTCGCCATAAATTGCGACCTGGATGCCGCCGTCAGAGCTGAAGGCGTCAGCTTTACTTGGGATGGTCTGCCCCCTCGGCCCGAGGATCCCAAAAAGAAGGCCAAGGGCAGCAAGATGGGCATGAATGCGGGCAAGCGAAAGCTTCCTTCAACACCTCCACCAGCTCTTGCAGATGATGGAAATATTTTCAAAGTCACGGACATTGACTTGGAAATTCCACGGGGCCAACTCGTTGCCATCGTTGGTGCCGTTGGCGCAGGAAAAACCTCCCTCCTTCAAGGTTTGATTGGCGAAATGCGACGGACTTCTGGTAATGTTGAATTCGGTGGCTCCGTTGGTTATTGTGCCCAAGTCGCTTGGATCCAGGTGAGTTTTCTGATTGGTCTTGGCATCGGTGACTCAGAGAAACATAGAATGCAACCATTCGGGAAAACATCTGTTTTGGTCGTCCATTTGAAGAGGAGCGTTACTGGAAGGCTGTTCGAGATGCATGCTTAGAGCCTGACTTGGAGATGTTGCCCAATTACGACCTTACAGAAGTTGGCGAGAAGGCAATGTCTATTCTTCGTCTTACAGGACTACTAACTGATGCTTTTCCATAGGGTATCTCACTCTCTGGTGGCCAAAAGCAGCGTATCAACATATGTCGCGCGATCTATTGCAATACCGACATCCAAATATTCGACGACCCACTGTCTGCTCTAGATGCACACGTCGGAAAGGCAGTATTCCAGAATGTACTGAAGAAAAATGCAGACAAAACTCGCATCCTGGTTACCCATGCCCTTCACTTCCTTCCTGAGGTCGACTTTATATATACCCTGGTTGACGGGCGCATTGCCGAACGTGGCACATACGCCGAACTCATGGCTAAAGACGGTGCATTCTCTAAATTTGTCTATGAATTTGGGTCAAAGGAGGATTCTACGAAGAAAGAAGAGAAAGCAGTGGATGGTCCAAAGATCGAAGACATAAAGATTCAGAAAGGATCCGCTGGGAAAGCGATGATGCAAGAGGAAGAGCGTAATACTGGTTCCATAAAGTGGGGAGTATACCGAGAGTATGTCGCAGCAGCTCACGGCCCTGTGCTCGTGCCGCTGTTTCTACTCTCTGTAATCCTCATGCAATGCTCCAGTGTCATGTCTTCATATTGGTATGTGATTTTCACATCTCGTAGTCATTTCACTAATGTAGCTCGTTAGGCTCATATACTGGGAAGAAGAGTGCGTGGATATCACAGACCCCTATAAATTGAAGTGCTCACCACTCCCATAGCAAATGGCACCAATCGACAGGATTTTATGTGAGTTCTTCTGTTGCACAGCACCGAAGCTCCACTGATGGTTGTCAATGCAGACCGGCATCTACGCCGCTCTTGGTGTCTCCCAGGCGTTGACAATGTTCATGATGGGAGGTGTACTTGCACTACTCACTTACTATGCTTCCCAGCAGTTGCACGGGGTCAGTGCCTCGTTACGTGTTGGTGGATGCTGATTTTAATACCATTTGCCAGAGATCAATTCAGCGAGTCATGTATGCCCCGATGAGTTTCTTCGAGACAACGCCTTTAGGCCGCATTATGAATCGCTTTACCAAAGGTAAGTTTGAAAAGGTTTCGACCACCTGTATTTTCATTTCTGACACAAGATGGAAGATATCGACACCGTGGATAATTTAATTGGCGGTGAGCACTTGTGCATCGAAATCCTTTCGTGAATCATTCTGATGAGAATAAATCCTGCGTTTTCAGATTCCTTCAGGATGCTCGCATCAACATCATCACAAATCATCGGGTCAATCATTCTCATATCCATCATCATACCGTATTTCCTTATCGTGGCCTTCTTCATCTTAATCTGCTATTACTATGCTGCACTATTCTACCGTGCGAGTGCACGTGAGCTGAAGGTCGGTCATTTTGATGAAGTTTGTCGAATTTCTACTGACGCAGAGGATCACAGCGTTTGGATGCACTCCTGCGATCCTCGCTTTATTCCCACTTTTCTGAGTCATTATCGGGCTTGACTACCATTCGCGCTTACGGCGAATTCGACCGATTCCGCGCAGAAAACACTCAGCTCATTGATGTCGAGAATCGGTAAGAACCGTAATTATACGCGATCTTGATCACTGTTGATGTTTTTCAGTGCTTACTGGCTGACGGTTGCCAACCAGCGATGGCTCGGCATACGTCTTGATTTCCTCGGCTCGTTACTGACTCTCGCCGTCGCACTGTTGACTGTCGGAATTCGATTCAGCATCTCTCCAGGGCAAACCGGTGTGACGCTCTCGTATATAGTCATGATGCAACAGGTAGTTCCGTTGTTCCTTTTTGTTCGAGTCTTATTTGACGATCCACTCAGTCTTTTGCATTCATGGTCCGTCAAGTTGCTGAGGTTGAGAACAACATGAATTCCGTGGAGCGTCTCGTGCACTACGCGAAAGAGGTCGAACAGGAGGCCGCGCATGAGGTCGAAGACAGCCCTGCGCCAGCCGACTGGCCTTCTCGTGGCGAAATCGTCATGAAGGATGCGGTTATGAGATACCGCCCAGAGTTACCACCTGTTCTGAAGGGCCTAAGTATGTCTCTCTCTCCTGGAGAGAAGATTGGTGTCGTTGGCCGGTGAGTATCTTTTTGTTCTGTGTAACTTCTGTGGCTTATGGGATGCAGGACTGGTGCTGGGAAATCATCCATTATGACCGCCATCTATCGTATGGTGGAACTAGCATCTGGGTCGATATCCATAGATGGCGTGGACATTTCGACCGTTGGTTTAGCACAGCTCAGAAGAAATTTATCGATTATCCCTCAGGATGCGGTAAGTGGCATGCGTAGCTTTTGTTCAAACTTGAGCTGAATATGCGACATGCTGCAGTTTCTTTGTGCGTGATAACGCGCCAAATATGGAAACCTGTTAACTGACCGTTTCAATAGTCTCCGGTACTCTCCGGACTAACCTTGATCCTTTCGGGCTACACGATGACGCCAAGCTTTATGATGCAATGAAGCGGGCATATCTTGTGGAGTCAGACAGTGATCTTCCGTCTAAGACATCGCCCCCTGCTGAAGGGCAGTCGGCGCCTAGATTTAGTCTTGACAGTCCTATCGACGACGAAGGCAGTAATTTGTCGATTGGACAACGTTCTCTTGTCTCTCTTGCGAGAGCTCTCGTGAATGACACCAAGATACTAATTCTTGACGAGGCTACGGGTAAGTCTGATATCTACCCTGGTAGCGGATACATTCTCATTGATTTCTATGTAGCTTCCGTCGATTACGAGACCGACAGCAAGATCCAATATACTATTGCCAACGAGTTTAAAGAACGCACGATCCTGTGCATTGCACGTAAGTTCGAGCAGACTTGTTGCTTTGCATTGGCTTGAATCACATATGTAGACCGTCTCCGGACTATCATTGGATATGACAGGATATGCGTGATGGATGCTGGGACGATTGCTGTACGTCCACATGTCTTTAAGTTGGCTTATTCAGTACTGACCATTTATTCAGGAATTCGATACTCCTGTTAATCTCTTCGCCATGCCAGATGGTATATTCCGCGGAATGTGCGAACGATCTTCTATCACTCTTGATGACATTCTCTCTGCATCCAAGCATGCAGCGTAATTTGAGCGTAATGCCTCGTACCTAGACTAGACTACATACAGTTTATTGCACATGAAATTTAAAGTGATGTTGTATGCAGAGATTACATACTAAAATACCTGCTAACGTTCTCACGCATGTCTTTTGGACGCCCACCATCAATTAACGTCGGATTCAAGACTTCCCCTCCAGATCGCGGTTCTTTTCCTCTGGACCATGATGGTTTGGCTCGCTGTCTTCATCGTGACATAACTAACTGATTATAATATGCAGGCGAATGCAAGGAACAGATGATGCAATACATGGCTTGCTTGCGCAAGAATTCTAGTGAATCCACCCCATGCAGAGTAATGAGCAAACAATACCTTGATTGTCGAATGACCAAGTATGCCAACGTCTGTTTTTGTGCTCTCAATAGCTCACATTTGTTGCAGAGGACTGATGGAACGTGATGAATGGAGGAATCTTGGACTAGTCAACCTTGAGGGAGATTCCGCCGAACCAACGCGCACTCCATCCTGAATGTATCTACACCTGCTCCACAAAACGAAATCCATGGAACATCGCAGACCTGACGAACATCTGGCTGAGGCGTGAGTTGCAACGAGCTGCAGTAATGGTCTAAGCATAATCATAAGCCGTTCCAGGTCTGAGTATCTATCAAATATTAGCGCACGATCTTTATCTCCTAACCGTGGACTCTGGAGCACTCGATGTATGAAACTAGCTTTTTCCATTGTCGTGACCCACCACGGCATGAAGCTACTTATATCGTATTAGCTTTTCATCACGCACGTTCCTCTTACCAACCAGTTCACCACCGGAACAATACTTTGATACCGCGGTCGTCTACTTGCATTCAATGGGTCGACGCACGTTACTATGAGTCGCAGAATGGCGCGTGCTACTCTAGTAACGAAACTGCAAAAGCAGCAGTGAATGATAGCCGGCAGGCCAGTGCCTTGCCTTGCCAGGAAGCGAACGTTGCAGCTGGCAGTGCCACCTGTTCAAATCGCTGGCAGCTGGAAAACATCGGGATCTTTTACTTGAACGTTCGTCTCGACACTGGTCGTTTTGAACGTTGATCCATAACCGGTGTTTTGCCGAATGCCGTGGTGGGCAATTCGAGAGAAAGGAGAGATCTTATATGAATTATGGACTGGCTGAGGTGGAAAAACAGATCCATCTCCTTCTCAAGCATGTGCATGAGTCCTTGACATCCGTTGAATGTGGTGGCATAAGCAGGCACAGGTGGAGCACCGACAGGAGAGTCACGCGAATTGGTTCCATTGTAGACATACAGATTCGCCAGTTATTGCATACTAAAGGGTAATGAATTCCATAAAATACTATGTAATCCATGAGACCCAAAAGCGAGATCAGCCTCTTAAGTCTCCGAGTCCAATCACCCCCAGCTTTGAGTCCATACCACCTGGAACTAAACTCGCCACTGTAGATATGACAATCTCATCTGGTATTTGTTGTTGTCGCAACACATCAAGAGTTTTGGCCGACAACTCATTGTGTGATTCGAGATCAATCTTCGAAGCGTCTGATGGAATGTACCACTCCTTGCTCCTGATAAGAGCTGGAACACTCTCGATATCATCATCCAACTCATCATAAAAGCAAGATTCGACGTTATACCATGCACACTTCATCAAGGCCTGGTTAGGACAGTGCTAAAGCAAGATACGGCCTGCTCTGGTGGAGCAATACGGAGCAGAATTCCTGCGAGGTAGAAGAGACTAGTATGAGCTTCTTTGCTAGTGACGTTGATGGAGGACTATTGGTAAGGGGGAGGGGGAGAGGAAGGAGTGGGATTGCGAAGATGTTTAGCAAGATGACTGGAATACACAGGTGCGGCGCCTGTGATCCACTCTTCGATATAGCCATCCCGGACCAAGTGAGCGTGCCAGCCGGAGCTCTTTGCAAGAGTGAAGGGGTTAAGGTGACCTCGGCCGATGGGGTAGGCAAAACATATTGCTGCAAGCAACAAGTGTAGCGATTAGGACTGAGCAGAGCTCCTAAAGTACCGAGCCTCATAAGGACTCGAGTCAGCTCCGACAGCAGTGAATTCACAAGGTCTTCATGTCAGGCGCTAGCTCTGTGTCTCTACTCCACCGCTCTTGTCCATGCATCGATCATGATCACTATGGGTCCCACAGTTGACCCAGCTGACTTTCCCACTGCTGTGTGATATCCGCTGTATTCTTGAGCGAATTCGCGGTCTGAACTGCATCTGCTAATGCCCCGGATCACGGTCAGCCAGGTCGCGCGCGACCACGGAGAAGTGACAATAATCTGCTTCTCGTTGACGGTCTTGGTCCCGGAAGTTTTGGCATCAGCATGTCTAATGATTGAAACGCGCAAACTGTCACTAGATCCTGGGAATGCCGCAGGATGGGACAAAGCAACCACAAAGACAAAGAAGCGGTGCCGATTCCTTCCGAACACTTGAGTGTCGACTCTCACCTGGCGCGGTCATCGATTACTGTCTTCCATGCTTTTTCGTCTGCCAACGATTTACTGATTAGTGATCTTATTACTAAAATCCTGCAGAACATCAAAAGAAGATTATGTTTTGTTTTTGAACAAAATCCACAACACATTGTTGACAAAGGGTGGACGATACTAGTAAGTGCACGAAGCGAAGGATTGATCAGCACATTCTGAATTTTCGTGTTTAACACCGCTCACAGTATATAGGATCCAACCTGGCTGTACCTTTTCTCCATCCCTCGTATTGGCGTACCGGTATGCCAATTATCTTGCTTCCCTTTCCCAGTAGGCCATAGAAAGGCGCACTAGACTTTGTGGTGAATCATAGTGTTTACTCCCATGAAGAACCGACTCACTCTTGAAACCGGTCACTTCTTCCTTGTCCTCTTCTGAAGATTCACCGCTCGCGTCAATTGAGCTGGCGGCTGGCGGGCGCCATTCTGGATGTGACGACCTAAACCAGTCTCTTCTACTGGTTAGCCTGTCGTTCTGTAAAATTTAGTTAGTTCCACATTCCATTCGTAATAGAAATAAGCTCACTTCTAGTTTGAGGATACCACGGCATTTGCCCCGGTGCTTGATCCAGAGTCCGGGGTAGTACCTGGAGCGTTTGTCAAGGCAGATGATCTTGCTACATCCGCAGCACCGGACGGATGTAGGCTGTACATCGTCGGTGTATTCATCATTCTCCAGGTCTTCTTTCCGCTCATCCTCCTTTTGTCTCCGCTTACTAGAGCTCCCGATGATGAAGTCATCGCGATTGCCGTTATTGATACTCCAGCTCCCGGGAGTAAGCTGTGGAGGGCTCGGTGCGTGTTGTGAGCCTTGGCTATCGGTGGGGGGACGTGAAGGGGAGAGCCCATGAAAGAGCCCTGTACAGACCAAATCGTGGTCATCAACGAGGCGATTGACTGTGGGCCAGTCGGTGCCATCATCATACACGAAAACGGCCGGACACTCTGACCTGCCACAATGTGTGGTATAGGTGCAGGTGGGCGTTTTGTGTGTGATGTTGCATTGGCTGGCGATGTAGCCATTGCTTGTCGAGTACATGGTAGCTGAGGGACTGGTGATTTTTTTGTGCTGGAAAAAATGCCCTCTAGTAGACGAGGGAGTTGTTGCAGTGGCACGAAGTTTTGTTTTCTTTAAGGCCTGCCTCGGAGTTGCATTGTTCACCCTTGAATACACGTGGTATTTTTTTTTTGATTCCGACTTCTGTCTATTGGAACAAATGTACCTTATGTTGGACAATACTAACTAGTTTAAGGGGTGCCTCTGCAACATTTGGACTCGCGAATACCCCAGCGTGAGGGTATCCCCCAGAGACGTGTCGTCCGTCAAAGATAAAGGACTGAGCTCCCTACCGCGCGTGTCTACGTCGCAAGGTACACACGCCACTCCAATGCAGGCAGTCGGCCCACTGTCATGACAGTCATTCACGACGGCCGATGTATTATCTGAGGCTCTTATCATTATTCTAGGTAAATTCCAACGCTTTCCGAGCCGCAGGTACATTCTACTTGTTGTGAAAGTGAACCTTGTCTACCATGATAGTTTCAGAAAAATTCATCAGCACAGAAGTCCTGGCCGCTGCCAGGAGCACTCTTCGATTTTCCCACATGCATGGAACTGTTTTAGGCCTACAATGGGGATGGTGAAAACACTTAGTCATGATGGTGCCTTTCTTGCTGAAGGTCAGTCCAGCCGCCGTCTTTTTGTTTAGTGTTTTTACATGAACAATGCCAGTTGCTGCATATATAGTTCTTCCAAATGGTGGGACTTGAATTCAAGCTTACAAGAAGCCGTACGTTCGGCACCCATGCTTCCGTTCAAGCGGCTTGTTGATTCGCACAATTCAATCCGGGGTGGAAATCAGCCGTGCCAGTTGCAAAAGTGATCTCCCCAGCTTGGCTGAAAAACGTATGATCAACGACTTCCAATCATACAAAAGATGGTTGATCTGGTAGGCTAATTGAACAATTGATCGGGCTCGAGCTCGATTACCGAGCATACTCATGAAGTTGAGGCATCCTAGACGCTCTTTCAAGAAGATCACTGATATTATTAAAACATAGCAAGGTCACATTTACTTTATCTGAATCATTATGTATCTCCACTCGCGTCGTGAATGCCAGAAATATTACGTTTTACTTACCGCCCTCCAGAAGCATTCCTAGGACTACCCGCTCTTCTGCGAGGAGGAAGCTCTGGAGTCGTAGACGGCCTACGAGAACTCGCATTACCACCCTCCGTTCCAAGGTTGAGCTCAAAATCCAATTTCCTAGCCATTTCCCTGTCCATCTCCTCCATCTGCCTCCTACGCTCCTCCTCATGCGCCTGCTCACGACGGGCAAGGTCACTGTCCAATTCTTCTTGCCGTCGCCGTTCCTCAGCAGCCCTGTACTCTCGCTCGCTTTCTTCCTGCGCACGCCGTGCAAAGGCAAGATCTGCTTCTTCCTGCTTGCGACGCTCGGCTTCTTCCGCTTCAAATTGAGCACGAGCAAAAGCAGCGTCGGCAGCCTCCTGATCAGCGCGCGCCTTGATGCGAGCAAGCTCAGCTTGCCACCTTCGTTCAGCTTCTTCCTCTTCTGCACGCTTGAGACGAGCCTCTTCTTCCCGTTTGTGACGGGCCTCTTCTTCTGCACGCTTCCGACGAGCCTCCTCTTCCTGTTTGCGACGAATCTCTTCTGCACGCTTTCGACGAGCCTCTTCTTCCTGTTTGCGACGAATCTCTTCTTCCCTTTTGCGACGTGCTTCCTCCTCTCGCCTGTTCCGCTCCTCTTCATGCCTCCGACGCGATTCCTCTTCGCGTTTCCGACGCTCCTCTTCGTCCCTTTGACGCGCATCCTCCTCGCGTCTTATCCGGTCCTCTTCTTCTTGTTTACGTCTGGCTTCTTCTGCCTTGCGCAGTTCTTCCTCGGCTCTCCTACGTGCCTCCTCTCGTTTGAGTCTTTCTTCTTCCTCCAGTTTGAGTCTCTCTTCCTCCTCTCGTTTGACTTTCTCTTCCTCCTCTCGTCGCCGTCGTTCTTCCTCCTCTCGTCGCCGTCGTTCTTCCTCCTCTAGTTTCAGTCTCTCTTCCTGTTGTTGTTTCAGTTTCTCTTCCTCTTCTCGTCGCCGTTGTTCTTCCTCCTCTCGTTTCACCCTCTCTTCCCCCTCTCGTCGCCGTTGCTCTTCTTCTCTCTGTCTCTGCTCCGCCTCCCATTTCAATCGTTCTTCCTCACCTCGTTTTTGTTCCTCAACGTCCTTCCATCTCGGTTCTTCATCCTCCTGTGGCCTGCTCTCTTCTTCAGCAGCTTGAGGTTGTGCTTCCTCTTCCTCGTGCTTCTGTGAGTCTACCTCCTCAACAGCCTTCCGTTCACCCACCACCTTCCGTTGTCCTTCATCCTGGGTGCGTTCCTCTTCGCGCTTCTTTTGGTCTTCTGGGACTTTAGGTACGGAAGAAGAGGCAGGAGGCAGGTTCGGGGGATTCTGGGAAGGGGAAGTTGGAGTGGCTCCCAAACCAAGTGCCGGTGAGACAGTTGGCGCGGCGTTCTGATATCTTTGCATAGGAGGAGACTGTTGTTCGCCTCGTGCTGCCGCCGGGGTCCCGTGTGGGCTTCCAGCGAGTGGCGGTGGCGGCGGCGGCGGAGAAAAATATGGTGCTCTGGGAAGAAGTTGAGATTGGGGAGGAGGAGCTGGGGATTGCACAGGGGGAGGCAGAGGGAAATAGGATTGTTGTTGGTATGGCTGCTGCTGAGGTGGTGTGGGTGTGTGTGTCTGAGGTTGCTGTTGGGTTGAATGAGCATATCCTTGCGGCTGTGGTGAAGAGGAATATGGTTGCTGATTGGGAAGTGGAGTGTATGATTGAAGTGGTGGAGGTTGGTATGGTTGAGCCGAGTAGCTCTGGGGATGAGGGGATGGTGTTGGCTGATATTGTGGTGCAGGAGGCGGAGCTTGATGAGGAGGGGGCGGGGGCTGATATTGCGGGATCTGAGACGGAGCCTGATGAAGCTGATACTGGTGAGGCTGCGGAGAAGATGACACATATTGCTGTGGTTGTGGTGAGGGCGGTGGCGCATGATTATGGGGGGTATAAGATTCCTGATATGATTGAGGAGGCGGAGATGTTGTTTGTTGAGGAGGAACATATCCTTGGGACAAGGGAGCGTATTGTTGGAGAAGCGGAGAAAGTGTTTGTTGAGGGGGAGTATATCCTTGCGACGAGGGAGAATATTGTTGGTGAGCTTGGCCCGACAGGTAATGATTGGGTTGCCATTGTCCTTGCTCACGATGAGGCTGTGATTCCGGCGTATGGGGTTGTGCTATAGGAAGCGAGGGTTGGTAATGCTCACTCAGCGGATCGTCTGTCATAGCCAAGGGTGTGCGAACTCCTAGAAGTTCTGGAGAAAGCTCATAAGGACGTTCTTGGACAGGAGTCTGTAACAATGATATTGGAGTTGGTGGAGTCGCGTAGAACAAGGGCGAGTCGCTCGCGCCTCCATTATTTGAAGCAGAAGTCCCAAAACGACCAGCACGTCCAGCAATCCCTGGGCGCAGAATAGTTGGTAGATGACCAGGCTTTCTCTGGGGTACTAAATCGTCCTCAGGAAGAGGGGGGAGCACATCAGTTTTGAGCTTCGGGGACTGTCGGTCGGGGGGAGAAGGATATTGTGATGAGGCATTGAGCTGACCTCTAGCAGGAAGTAAAGATGCAGGTAGTGTACTAGGGGGGACATAGCCTGTATCACGGAGCTGCACAGGCGTTGGATTCAGCACAGATGGTGGTCCGCCCTTTGGTACAGGATTATATGACTGCGGTCGTGTAAGACGATCTGATTGTTTGATTTTCGATGGACGACGATTAAGAGGGGGAGGACCATTTGCATAGAATGTCATCTCAAGGTATAACTCGCCTCTCGCTCCGCCTGAGGTTTCGAGAGGAACCCAGTCTGATAAGATAGTTTAAGCATACACCAAGCCAGGATTATAAGTCTCTCACCATCGAATTCGCCCGTTTTCAAAGTCGATTCGATGTCGACAATCCCTTTACCTAAGAGCTTATCCTCAGATCGAGGCTCATCCTTCCAGCAAGACACTTCCAGCTTTCTGTTGACACTGTCCTTACCAGGATCTACAAGAACAGGAAAGCGGAATTCTTCATCCCACACAGGATGCTGCCCGCCCTTGGGCTCTGGCTTGGTCCGTTGAGTCTGGCCAGAAAGAGATGCTTGCGCATATGGATCTTGCTTGTAGAAAGAAGGTTGGTGCAGATGACGAGCCTTGAGGATGACTACGATTAGCGTCCCAAGTTCCTTCGATTGTGACATGGAGCAATTTAAAGACAATTAATGGTCAGAACTGTGCTGGTCACTAGCTACTCTGCAGTGTGCACTGCCCGCTAAGTCGGCCCCAAGTGCACCGGTCGTCCGGTCAGTCTAAGTCACGGTACGTTACTGTAAGCTGTGACACGTGACACCACGCGTTTCTGGCGGTGGGAAAACGCGTCAATAGACTGCAAGACGCGCACAGTCTAGCTCATCATCGAACACGTCCACCATAGCTTAATGTCGGACAGAGCAAAGCGCGCAGATAGACTTTCTGCTCTTGCGGAACTAAAGCGAACTCGTGAAGGAGGCGCGCGCAAGTGGAAGGTGCGATATTGCCATTTGGCGGCTTGAAACCGTATCTCGAACGCGTCTTCACAGGCTCAAGAGGATGTGGCTATCTATGATGAGGTCACTGAGGACCAGTATAAGAAAATTGTGCGAGGGAGGCTGCAGAAGGATGACTTTGTCGTGGACGACGGCGTGAGCGGTTATATGGACAATGGGATGGACGACTGGACGGGCGCTGAGAAAGACGAAGACGAAGATGACGAAGACGACGAGTACGAAACAAAGAAGAAAAAGAAGGGTGAGTTTGATTGTATGTCTATACTTATAATATCTGACTTTGGCTTTTCAGCGAAGAAGGGCAAGGATGTTGCATCCAAGCCTAAAGCGAAGCCGAAAGCACCACCACCTACTGCCAAGCCTTCCATCAGCGTGTATCGCCCAGCTGTCTCAGCAGAGCAGGAAGATGACTTCATGGCCAATCTTCTTGGAGGCTTAGATGCCGTCTCAGCTCCAGCTGCAAGGAGGCCAAAAAAACGCAAGCCCTCTCCGTTATCAGATCATGAAGACATAAACTGCGATTCCTCTGATGGTCTTATAGACGACACTACTTTCAGCCTGCCATCAAGTGATTTCGAAGACGACTTTTCGACTATGATGAGCCCTAAGAAGAAGCCACGCACAACAAGTGGTGCTGGAATCACTCCCGCGATCGAGCGAATGTGCAAGTTGGATGTTCATAGTGGTTCGGAAAATGATTTTGATAACTCAATGGACTTTGAGGACATGGACATGGATGCCTTTATGGATGTTGATGACGAAGATCTTGATCTCAAACCGGCCAAGGGGAACAAATCTATTCTCGATGGCCTGGAAACTAAGCCCAAGGTCAACATTACTTCGGCACCAACCAAAACGGAGCCACCTTCAGCGCCAACTTGGCTATCTGTCTACGACTCTCTTGCTGTCGCTTCCGACGAAACCTTAGGTTCTGGTTCTTCCTCCTCAACTTCTAAATCTTCTGTCGATGCTCTCGAACCCGATGGCACTCTCCGCTTTTTCTGGCTAGATTACCTTGAACATAATGGCAAGCTCTTTCTCACTGGTAAAATCAAGGACAAAACCTCCTCGACTTGGGTATCCGCATGCCTTGCCATTGAGGGGCTTCAGCGTAATTTGTTTCTACTCCCGCGTCCGCTACGCGTTGAACAAGAGGAGACCGAAGAAGGCGAGTATGTGATGCAAGAAACTGACGTCGTGCCAAGCCAATCAGATGTGTACGAAGATTTTGAGCGAGTACGGAAGAAGCTTGGTATCAAGGGGTGGAAGGGGAGATGGGTTCGGAGAAATCATGCATTTGATGAGAAGGACGTACCGAAGGAGGGAGAATGGATGAAAGTATTGTACTCTTTTGAAGGTAACCCTCAATTACCGAACTTTTGCAAAATACTCACTGTATGTGGATAGAGCCCCAAGTCCCTATGAACGCCTGTTCGCCTAATATTGCTCGAATATTTGGGACGAACACAAGTGCGTTTGAGCTTTTTGTGCTCAAGCGCAAGATCATGGGGCCGTGCTGGCTTGCTATCACCAATGCGGTTATCGAGAACAAAGGTGTAAGGCTGCTCAGGAAAGATTCCTTCGCTCTTAGCTGATAATATATTCATGAAGATTTCGTGGTGCAAGTTCGAAGCCACGGTGTCAGACCCCAAGAACGTGACACCCATGGGAGACAGCGCTCCAGAGCCTCCCCCTTTAACAATAATGAGCCTCGCAGTACGCACCGTTGTCAATCATCGCGAAAACAAGCGGGAAGTTGTTTGTGCCACAGGACGCATATGGCGAGATGGTCAGTTGTCTTGCAGCTCTACTGAAGAACATTGCTGACTTGATAGCGCATTGTGTAGTTCAACTTGATGATCCCACACCCCCCGAACAACTCCCGTGCTCTGTGCACACGTTCGTCCGTCCTCTCGACAGCTTCCCTGCGAAATTTGAAGCACAGGCGCGAGCAAATGGAAAGGGCTTAATCTCACCGATGAAGAACGAGCGGATGCTGCTCAACAACTTGCTTGGTGGCTCTCTCTTTCAATTGCAGTGCTTTTCAATCGTTAATCGCATATCCTACAGTCACGCTGCACAAAGCAGACCCCGACGTCATTGTTGGTCACGACTTTCTCGGTGTTTCCCTTGATGTCCTCCTCGGCAGAATGAAGGACCTCAAGGCGGATCACTGGTCACGCCTTGGGCGGTTCAGGCGCTCGAAATGGCCACTTATAGGACGTCAGGGCACAAACATGCGCTTTCTAACTGGGCGCCTGCTTTGTGACCTCGCCAGCGATGGTGCACGAGTCAGTTTCACATCGACTTCTGTGATACAATGACTGATGAATCGGCGTCAGAGCATGATTGCCTCCACGACGTGGTCCCTCACCGAGATGTGCAAAACTCATCTCAAGTCAGACAGGCAGGACATTGACCCAGATGACACCGCAGCATACTTTGATGGTACCGTGTCATCCCCAGACATGCTCATGACGTTTGTGCGACATTGTGAGCTCGACGCTCATTACCAAATGGCCATCGCATCGAAGGTGCAGGTTCTGCCTCTGACAAGACAGCTCACAAACCTCGCTGGCAATGCATGGTGAGTTCCTTTGGTCGGTGATTTGGTCATTAATGAATCTTGGCCTCAGGAACAAGACGCTGAATGGTGGTCGGGCTGAGCGGAACGAGTACATTCTTCTGCATGAGTTCCACCGCTTGAAGTACATCTGTCCTGATAAGACATACGGCAAGAAAGTGACAAAAGTAGAGCCCGAAGCAGATGACGCAGACGGCGAGAGGGGCGGGGGCAACAAGTCGAGCAAAGGAAAACGGGACAAGTTCAAGGGTGGCCTCGTGTTTGAGCCGAAGCGTGGACTTTGGGACAAGTATATCCTTGTCATGGACTTCAACTCGCTGTATCCGAGTATCATCCAGGAGTACAACATTGACTTCACTACCGTCGAGCGCTCGCAGGAGGATGTAAGTGACTAAACTTGGATTCATACTTTGGTGCTGACACCTGAGTGCAGGACGATGATGATAAGATACCAGACCCTCCGCCACCCGAGGTGCCTCAGGGTGTCCTTCCACGACTTATTGCAACACTAGTCAGCCGGCGGCGACAGGTGAAGTCACTTATGAAAGATCGTTCTATCTCGCACGCGAAGCTACTGCAGGTTCGATGGTCGATGTTGTCCCTTTGACTACTTGCTCATACTTGATCTTTGTCACAGTATGACATCAAACAACAAGCATTAAAGCTGACGGCGAACAGTATGTACGGCTGTCTTGGTTTCGAGTACTCGCGATTCTACGCCAAGCCTCTCGCTGCTCTGACTACTTTCAAGGGTCGGGAGATCCTGACCCACACCAGGGAGCTTGCGGAGAGTTTACAACTAGACGTGAGTACATCTCTGATACGTGTCAGTGGATTTCTCTGACTCATCATAGGTTGTCTACGGCGATACTGATTCGGTGTTCGTCAACTCCAACGTGACAGAGCTTTCCGAGGCACTAAAAATCTCTGCCGAATTCAAGAAGGCTGTCAACGATCGATATAAGCTTCTCGAGATAGACCTTGATGGTGTCTTTGCACGTCTCTTACTCTTGCAGAAAAAGAAATATGCAGCTTTGAAGGTGGAAGAGGGATCACGAACATCCACGGAAGTTAAAGGTTTAGACATGAAGCGCCGAGAATACTGCGCTTTATCGAAGAGCGTGTCTCAGTAGGTCATACTTTGTGTTTGTGTTGACTCGGTTTAAGCCCGCACTTTCCAGATACGTCTTGGAACAAATCTTGTCTGGCGAACCAACGGAGGTTGTGGTAGAGAACATTCACGAGTATCTTAATACCATCGGCGAAAATGTTCGCGGCGGAAAGATCAAATTGGAGGATTTCATTGTATACAAGGTACCCTCCAAAAACTCTTTTCAACGTTTCTTGGTCAATCTCACGCACGGCCCAGCGCCTAGGCAAAAACCCAGAAGACTACCCCGATGCTAAATCTCAGCCTCATGTGCAAGTCGCTTTGAGATTAAAAGCAAAGGGTGGAAGCGCCCGTAACGGCGACGTTATCCCCTATGTGTTCTGCGTCGCTCCTGGTGAAGAGAGCGTGAAGACTGCACAAGCAGATCGCGCTAAGCATCCAGACGAAATCAAGAGGGCTGCAGGGGAACTTACCGTGGATTACGAGCACTACCTTGCCAACCAGGTCCTACCACCTATTGAGCGACTGTGTGAGCCTATTGAAGGGACAGATAGGGCACGGCTTGCTGAGTGCCTTGGTGAGCGTTGAAACACCGATGCCTGCAAACTAAATTCAACTCAACGTTTGTAAAAGGACTGGACCCGGGACGTTATCGTATTAGTGGAAGCACGCCGGCCGGATCAACGCTCACAACATTAGATTCCCTCGTCTCTGATGCAGAGCGATTTCGCGACGTGGCCCCATTCCTTGTACGCTGCCGCGGGTGCGCAGGACAGATGGCGTTTCCTCCGGTCTACGATCGAGATGTATGTGACTGCATCCCAATTTGTCCTTAGGACTGTCTGACATCGAACAGGCGTCGATTCTGTTGTCATCAGGGCCAACCTGCCCCGCGTGCAGCGCACCGCTGGGTTCGGCGAGCCTGCAAACGCAGCTTGAGGTGCAGATTCGGTCGTTTGTGGCACAGTACTACGAGGGATGGGTTGTCTGCGATGATGCAGCGTGCGGGTACGAGACGCGGTCGATGCGGATGTATGGCTGGCGGTGCGGAGCGCATGGAGGCTGTAAAGGTAGAGTGCAGTTCAAGTACGGGGACACCGAGCTGTACACCCAGCTCCGGTATTTTTCGACACTATTTGACATTGAGAAAATCACCAAGGCTGCACAGGGCAGCGCGAGAAGGGGTAAGCGTTAATGCAGTTCATCAACCGACCGAGATATCTGACAGTTTGCATACAGAGGAAATCGTGGCTGTTGCAGCAAACAATGACCCATTCCTCAGGGCGATGTCGAAGACAGTGGACAAATATATGGAACAATGTGGACGATGCTGGGTCAATCTCGGTGCATTGTTTTCTAACATGAACCTCTGAGTTCAGGCTCAAGGAATCGCGCATACGATATTCATATTGCTACAGTACAATAGTGTCTTAGGTTTACCTTCTGTGTATTAACACCAGAACAGCGCTGCAACTTACAAATAGCATAGCTTCGAAGATGTGGGACCTGTCTTCACCTCAACTGCTATTCACAATGAGCAAAATAATGTCGGAAAAAAGTTCACAGGGTTTTAAGGCCATGCAAGACATTTTAAATTCAACTATCATTTCATACAACCGCATTCTGGTCCCAGACATTGACATTGTTGCAGCATGCCGTTGTGAGTGCCTTTCAGTTGGTGAACAAATTGGACAGTCCAAACAATATTTTTGAGTAAGGCATACGGGGTTTTCCGCGGAATGTGCGAAACTTTTGGTTGATCCACATTGCAGTTCTTCTCGGATTGTACGTCCCGCATATCGTTGTTTCCGCCGATAATTATTTTTGATTAGCATACTTGGTAGATTTCTACTTGTACCAGCGATCTCAAAAGCTGATACAGATGCTTCATTTCTTGTGGGATATCAAGATTGGAAATACATGTACATTTTGTCCGAATCAAAGGATGAAAGCACGCAAATACAAGATCTACATCAACCCAGCAGTCCTTTGACATATTTCAATAACTCTCGTCCCTGCAAGATGTGCAATTAGTTTTTGCTCGAGACTGTCTAGTTGCACGCATGAACTTACCCCTTTGCTCTTTACACTCGCTACCATAGCTTCTACGCCTTCAAGCTCGTCGTCAATACCATGCATTATTTCGCTGTCCCCTGCGGAAAGTAATAAGCGTGCATTCCGTTGCCGCTCACTCAAGCCGTGTCGAAGCACAACGGTCAGCATAGCACGCCAACCCTCGGTTGCGCCATCTGCCGCTGCATTTGCAGAAGCAGGCGAGGTAGAAGGCATGGGTAGTTTCGGTACCACCGTCGAAGGGACGACGAATGGGCAATACGATCGATGTTCATTCAGTACATCAAACTCCCTCTTCTTTGTTGGCGGATGTGGTAGCGGGCTGCTGTCTAGCGGTGATGAAGCAAACTGAGGTGTGAATGCCCAGAGGCCGACGCGTCGTTGGCACAAGGAACAGTGCAAAAGAGATGTGTCCCGGGCGCTTTTCCCGATGTCGCTCAGCCGTGGTGTTCGCGTGCGCACGGGTGTACCTCCCAACTGTGAAATACTAGTAAGGGGCGAAGAGGGCATCGGAGATGGTGAATCTGCCCGCCCCCACTGAACGGTACGTGAGACTGATGGAGACCTAGACAGAGACGGGGAAGCTGGTCTGGACATGGTAGCTATTCGAGAAAGTGACGAAGTGCGACTACGTTCCGAGGGAGGAGCAGGCGGGGCCAATGACCAGCCGAAGAGGGCAGTTATAATTGCGGTATCAGATGGCTCAGGTTCTGCATCAACCTGCATTGCCGACTCATTCTCGGATTCTGATTGGGCCTGAGGAGGCTTGACTGAGGTAATTGCTGAACGAAGCGAGGCAAGCTGAGAGGCGGACTGATGGAATGAATAAGCACCGCACAGGAAAATGCTGCAGTCCAACCCACCAATGGATGTTTGATCATGACGTCTGTCAACAGAGGCTCTAGAGAGCGTGCATTGGATTTGATGTCCCGTGCCATGGCAGTCGGTGCTTGAAGCGGCACGCGGTAAATCGACGCTAATGAATTGGGTGAGGAAGGAGGCTAGGTACATCTTGACGAAAAGACTCACAATCACACTGCCTAGTACGCCAAGGACATCCGTCCTTATGCATCTCCACTAGCTGGATGCGCTGCTTCTCAACAAACGCATTGGCTATGGTACGAAAGAAAAACGCTCAGCGGTGTAGCTTGTCATTTACCTACCTTCTAAACCTTACCGGCTTCTCGTGTCATGCCGTCTCGCCCCACAACAACCCATGAAACATCACAAATTCCACACACTAGCCTGTCTTTGCCATCGTTTATCCAACCGCACTTCGCTGCAGCCACAGCATCAATTTGAGGCGGCTTGTTTGCATATGTCGTCAACTTGTAGGTCGATAGGCGGGATAAGAATGACTGAGTGGATGATGGTCGGTATTCCGAGGAGAGCGAAGCTGATACTGGAAAGCTAGAGTGTACAAAAGGGGTAGCTCCTTTGCTCTTGGAGCGTGCCAAGATCGCAGCCAGGTGAGGGGCAGCCTTGGAAATATCATGCTTATCCAGAGTACTATTGAGAATAGAGCAAGACGAGAGCAAGTTCAGAGATTTCCAAGTCGTAAACCGCGAAATTTGACTGACTCGATGGATGGTTTGGGGATGTTGGACTGGATCCCATACTTGGCGAGCGTAGAGTAAAGAGAGCGGGTCATGTGTGGTCGTTTGGGAGCTGTTGGTCTTTCGGGTAAGGTCTTCGCTGGAGCTACTGCGTTGTCGAGACTTTGGAGGGCATCATCGAATTTGCGCTGAGACATGCTGCTCAGTAGGGGCCTGTTAGGTTCAAATCCTCTGCTTACCTTGGTAGCTCGGATAGACATTGATGAGCTTGTAGAGCCCGAATCTGAACCGTTGACAGAAACAACCTCTGTAGTCATCGATATGTTGAGGAGTGAATTAGTGAAGTTGAGCGTAGATGGTGGTCGTTTATCAAACACTAGCGGAGTGCCACTGAAAATGAAGTAATACAGCAAGCTTGCACAGCCACACATAAGCGACCACCTATGGCAAATGTCACATCACACTCTGATTGTAACATGCGATGAATAAAAGGTGGAGATTTTTTCAACAGTTCCTCTCCATAGCGGCAACTAAAGTCTATTATGATCTATCATTATGAACATGACTCGTGTGATCCCTGCGGCCCGTATTATTTTCGGCCTCCATCCACCCTCTCAAACGTGCCACTGACCGTCGCTCTCTCTGCAATGTAGCCTTCTTCTGCTCGATCTTCAAAATCTCTACTACCGTACGCGCAGCTTCTACATCATTCCGTAGATAAAATGCCTTGATAAACATCTTGAGCATCGGCTTCGCATGCTTCTCAAACGATATGTAAGGTGGAAGCTTCGACAGCGTGAGTGCTTCATTGGTGCGCAGAAGCGGAGTGCTGAAGGGCGGATGGGAAGGAGAGTGAATCCCTGCGGGGTATCCACCACGAACCATGTGGTCGAACAGCGCACGTAAACGTTGATGATCGAATGCAGTCCTCCAGACTATCAACGCCTTCAGGATGATATTGACAGTTATCCTGTCAGGCGCAAACTGCTGGTACTTCACGAGGTTATCGAGGAGTCCCAAGAGCTTCCGGACACGCCTGCCGTTTCTCGGGACCGGACGTGTAACGACACCGTGCAAAAGCGTGTTGCCTAGGATCGTCCGGCTTTTGGTGTCCACCTTGCTTGCAACACGACTAAAAGCGACCTTTGCAGCATGCGGTCGCCTAGCGTATATTAAATCTTGCAGAACTCTGTTGTATACCGGGCCACTGCTCATACCGCTCTTGAATAAAGTCCCCGCTGCCCAGAAACAGCCACCTTGAAATAGGGTATGCGACTTGCGCCCTGTGATAAAAATATTCGTGGATAGGCGTCCACTAGCCGTCGCACCGAGGCGTGTACTGACCATGTGACGAAGGTTAGGAACACATCCCCGGTGTGTGCCAACTACAATTTTCTGGATTCGCAACGCGCAGCGAAATTGCCTGCGGCGCAAAAAGAGGCAAACCAGCCGCAACAAGAACGAGAATTGAAAGAAGGCCGGGTAGAATGTGATGACGTTAGCAATAATAGCCGTAGTCTGGAACCCACTGCCCCGAGTGCATAGCTCGGCTAGAAGAAGCTGAAGATGCCCACGGAAGTGAATGGGAGGAGGAGAGATCGAGTAGAGTTTGCGGAGGGAAATCCCAATGTCATCGATCAGATCAGTGTCGTAATGTTCATGCCTCGTCTCCTTGAGAAAACGAGCAATGCTGCTCAGGAGGCCTCCCACTTGTATTCGAGAAAATCGTTCATGCTTAAGAAACCCCACAGCATGAGCAGGTGGGAGTGCCCTAGCTAGAAGATATGCGGTATCGACATCGATATCTCGCCCACTGCGGACAGCGATGTTGTACAATGCGTGGGCGAGCTCAACGTCACGATGAATGAGGTCCTTGACAGCTGCAGACACTACAACACTTTGGTGTTGCACGTCAGTCGAGTAGGAACTCAACGTCTTCATGATGAATTCCGCTCCGCACCCACGGACTTGCATCAATGTAGCAAGATGCATCGCTGCCATTGCTGCTAATTGGGGTCCCTCTACGGTGTCCGAAGAATTGCCGGTCCAAAGTCCGAAGTTTATACTCGACTCCAGGCACGCTGCAAATAGCTTCGGATCCACTACTGCACCAGAGAGGCGAAAAAGAGAAGTCGTAACAGCGCGTGAAATGAGGGTGGGGGGTGATTCATTGGACATGAGGTGCAGCCAGGACTCATGAAGAGAACGTATCATCTCTTGAATACGTCCGCGGAGAGCACGATCGTGAAGAAGGGCTGGACCCGCGGCTCGCGTAACCTCTTCGAGAATCGCAAGGGCAAACAGGGTCTGCCATAAGGATGCATATCCATCCAAAGGAAAATCAAGCGATGAAATAGCAATTCCACTGCCGTTGCAGCTATACAGCAGCGAATACAGAAGGAGATTGCTTCGCCGATGGACTAGTGGAACGTTGGATGAAAATGCCTCGTGCAGCAACTCCGTAATGGCTTTCATATGGGGGAGAGGGATTCGGTTTGGGCAACGGAAATACCGAAAGAGCGGATGTGAAAGCGGTAGCATCAACAGGTACAGATATAGAAGCCCCCGCAGTGCCCCCACACGGCGACGGAAAATGAGTGACCCGGATTGAAATGGCTGACAGGATAGATTCCAAAAGCGCGGTGTCAGTGTCATGAACTATCTCCAGCAACACTTTCATAACTTTCGCATGAAGAAAGGGATGAGTGAGAAGGATGCTGGTTATCGCATCAATGGCCCACTGCTTGTGAAGAGGGTCCGTGCTCGACAAAAGTACTGTTAAATATGGAACGTGAACATCTGGATCGAAAACGTGTCGAGAAAAGTGGAGGTATTGTTTTCGGGCGCGGAACAGATAGCGATCAAATTTGTGCGTGTCTGCTCAATTTAATTAGACCGAGCTATGAACGAATGTGATAGATTATCTTACAACCGGGCTGGCCGTCTTTAGAGGAGGAAAGGCTCGCCAACTCCGCTCGCATCATCCAATATCTATCTGAATGCGCCAGTGTCATGCCCCTCTGGCGCTTTAATGATACAACCTCCTTCACAAATGCCCAGTAGTCGCGAGATACAGGACTATCTTTCACATAAGGAAGGAGTGAACTAGTATACACACATGTTCTTGTCGAGTCAACAGACAAGGACCCAAAAAGACCAATTAAAGCGCTAAGCATTCCTGAGTCGAGCTGCGACAATTGGCCCCGTGCTTTTGCGGAGATGTAAAATGAATGAATAGTATTGGGTGTCGGCCTCCTGGAAGGGTCTGGAAGCAGGGTAGAGGACGTCAGGATTTTCCGGAGAGCACTTATGGCGCGAGTGCTATTGGATGGGCCAGACTCCCGAGGATCTTCAGATGTCATAAGAGATCGCTTGCTCTTGTTCTGAGTCCCGGTGCTGCGGGGCAAGCATTCTTGGACATGGGCGCTAGCAGAAGACAGTAACCTAAAATTGAACGACGGTCAAGGTCACGCGTTTGATATTATGAAACAAAAACTAAAAACCTGATTCTTTGAGCTCCGTCGACGCCGCCCAACACTCGGACGGTCGACAGACAGCATCGCAACATTCCATGGCATGGACGAATTGGGAACACGACGCGTTACACGTCACGTTACAAGGTGAACCAAAGGATCGGAACTCCCCGGCGGACTCGGAACCTTGTTTTTGAACTGCAAGGCATTTCCCGGTCGATCGAAACTTTAGCGGGAACACCGGATACACATATTCACATTATCCTCATCCAGTCGGTCGCCTTGAAAAATCCATTGGCACGCTACTGGTGCGTAGTGCTAGATGAGAATGGGTAATTTGGCTGACAGACATTCAGAGGTCAATCGGGAGGCACTGATTTTTACTCAAAAACAATCACATCTGTATATTCATGTGAGTTAACATAACTTATCACCCTGTCTTGACATTTCAACTGGTGTATCAGAAATCACAATGGGTGCTACTCGCGCGCAAAAGGAAGTTTACTTCATCAAACTAAAGGAACTCATCTCCAAATATTGTGCGTTTCGATAGTTTTATTTATCTAACTATCCTTTTTTGAATAACGCGCCTACAGCCTCCATCTTCATCGTCAACGTTGACAATGTCAGCTCCAACCAGATGCACCAGATTCGTGTTGCTCTCCGTGGCAAAGGTGTCGTCTTGATGGGCAAGAACACCATGGTTCGCCGTGCTCTTCGTACTATCCTCTCGGAGAACCCCCAGTTTGAGCGTCTTCTTCCCCACGTCAGGGGTAACATTGGTTTCGTCTTCACCGACAAAGAGCTCAAAGAGGTCAGGGACATCATTGTTGCCAACAAGATTGCCGCCCCCGCTCGTGCTGGTGCTTATGCCCCCAAGGATGTCTTCGTCCCTGCCGGAAACACCGGTATGGAGCCCGGAAAGACCTCCTTCTTCCAGGCCCTCGGTATCCCTACCAAGATCGCTCGTGGTACTATTGAAATCTCGGCCGAGGTCCAGGTCGTTACCGCTGGTAGCCGTGTCGGCCCGTCCGAGGCTACTCTTCTCAACATGTTGAACATCTCACCGTTCACCTACGGTATGACTGTCGTCCAGATCTTCGACTCTGGAAATGCGTTCGCTCCCGAAGTTCTCGACATCGACGAGCAGGTGCTCATCGACCGCTTCTTGTCCGGCATCCAGACCATTGCTGCCATCTCACTTGCCCTCAACTACCCCACCCTCGTCTCGGTCACGCACTCCCTTGTCAACTCGTACAAGAACCTCATTGCATTGTGCTTGTCCACCGACTACATCTTCGAGGGTGCTCAGAAGGTCAGCTCAAATTCGATTCGTCTAACATTGAGATGCTTTAAACATACACACTGAAAATGCTGACTTTAACGGATGCACAAATCTTGTTTCTGAATTTTTGCCGAGTTTACCGTGCTGAGCAACGAAGCTAATTCTTCACGCAGGCAAAGGATTACTTGGAGAACCCTGAAGCATTTGCTGCCGTTGCTGCCCCTGCTGCCGCTGAGGCTGCACCCGCTGCTGCTGAGGCTGAGGCTGAGGAGAAGGCGGAAGAGAAGGAGGAGTCTGACGATGACATGGTACGTTACTCTTGGTCTGCACGAATGGAAATAGCCCTTACGCGCTGGTCTACAGGGTTTCGGTCTCTTCGACTAGATTACGCATCATGTCGTGTTATGTACTGTCACGCATATCGTCTAATGCACATGCAAGCTGATAAGAAGACTCACTCGTGTTGATCAAATGATCCCCATAAATATATATAAGTCAAATGAAGAAGATTGCAAGGCGCCTATTCATACTTCTACGTAGACTTTACATATATGGCTTGGAGATAATCATCCTTTCGTCGCTACACGTTGGATGATGTGTGCGTTTCTCACTGGCTTTTGCAGTACGGGCATAAAAGTCAGTGACTGATGGATGGTCCAAACTGGGACTAGCGAGACCGTGGTGCAGATTCCCATACGGTCATGACGCAAGACAGTGGAGCGTAGGCAGCTAAAACTCAACCCACCGTCATCCAGGGTCAATCGACAAGCGTCTTCAGCCATCGATCTAGACATTTTTCGCGATAGGACTTTGATCACACAAACGTTTGCCAGCCTTCTCGCTGCCCTTCAACCATTTCATCACGAGAGATCCGATAATCACCCGTATTCGGCCTCTTCTGCATGTTTCCAAAGAGATCCGCTCACTTATAAATTTCATCTCTCCATGGCACCCTCTCTCTTCCCAACCTCCGCCGAAAACTTTGCAGATATGGAGGGCAAACATCTCATCGTCGTCGCCAACCGTCTACCCATCACAATCACGAAAGATGCTTCAGGCGAATACCACTTCAAAATGTCTTCGGGAGGGCTCGTATCAGCCCTCTCCGGTTTCAAGAAGTCGCTGAGCTTTACCTGGATCGGTTGGCCGGGTTTTTACATTCCACCGAAAGACAGAGCTTACGTCGACAAGCGTCTAATGGAAGAATATTCTTGCCAAGCCGTATATCTTGACGATGACGTCGCAGAAGGGCATTATAACGGCTTCTCCAACTCTATTTTGTGGCCATTATTCCATTACCATCCAGGAGAAATGAACTTTGATGAGGAGAATTGGCTCATGTACCGTCAGGCCAACTTCCGATTTGCGGAAACAGTACGCTCGCAAATCACACCCGGGAGCATGGTATGGGTGCAGGACTATCACCTTATGCTCCTTCCCATGATCCTACGCGGCCTCGTTGACGGGTCATCCTGGAGGGGATTACCAAAAGCAAGAGCTGACGAAGATCGCGGAAGGTATTGAAGAGGAAGTTAATATCTCCTCTGAGAGAATACCCGACGTCAAGATAGGGTTCTTCTTGCACACACCCTTCCCCAGCAGCGAAATTTATAGGTAAGTGATCTTCCTTTATTGCTCGCTTACCCCGCTGACCCTGCGCCAGAATCCTCCCTGTTCGTCGTGAAATTCTGCTGGGTGTCCTGTTCTGCGACCTGATTGGCTTTCACACTTACGACTATGCTCGTCACTTTTTGTCTTCTTGCACGCGCATCTTGGGCTTGCCCACTATGCCAAATGGTGTTGAGTTTGAAGGTCGCTTAGCTCACGTTGGAACATTCCCTATTGGCATCGAACCTGCTTCATTCATCAAGGTATGCATCAGGACGTAAAGTGACATGAGTCATTAAAGTTAACAACGTGCAGAACCTAGAGAAAGAATCCGTTAAATCTCGCATCGCTCAACTGGAACAGCGTTTCAATGGTGTCAAAGTCATCGTTGGGGTTGATCGTCTCGATTACATCAAAGGCGTTCCCCAGAAACTACACGCCCTCGAACTCTTTTTGACGCAGCACCCTGAGTGGATCGGTAAAGTTAGTGTGGGATTGTTTGTGCATACCTGTTTGACTTACCCGCATCACCAGGTGGTGTTGGTCCAGCTCGCTGTGCCGTCCAGGCAAGACGTCGAAGACTACCAAAACCTACGATCGACGGTAAACGAGCTCGTCGGTCGCATCAACGGTCGGTTTGGTACAGTCGAATTCATGCCGATACACTTCATGCACAAGAGTCTGCCATTCGACGAGCTGTGCGCCCTTTACGCAATTAGTGACGTTTGTTTGGTGACGAGTACGAGAGATGGAATGAATCTGGTAAATCTTCTCAGTTCTTCACCTATGGGGTGATGTTCTGACGTCATCACCATCAGGTCTCGTACGAGTATATTGCTTGCCAGCAGGCTCGTCAGGGTGCAATGATCCTCTCCGAATTCGCCGGAGCCGCACAGAGTCTCAACGGATCAATCGTCGTGAACCCGTGGGATCCTCAACAAGTCGCTGACGCGATTCACGAAGCTGTCACGATGGATACGGAGACGCGTGCCGAGAACCACCGCAAGCTTTTCAAATACGTCAATAAATACTCCGCGGCCTTTTGGGGCACGAGCTTCATCAAGGAAATGGGCAAGTTGAAACAAGACGATGTGGACAAGGAGGGTCAAGCCGAGTTGAAGCCCAAGAACGACGAAGGGGCTGGTAGCGACCTCGTTCGGGGACAAGTGCCTACGCCACAGGTGGTAAGCCCGGGTGTATAGACCATCTGGGAAGGCAAGTATCATAACTTCTATTTAGGCACCAGGTCGGATGATCGCGTTGCACACTTTGCGCTTGACTTGGGGCGCTATACGTTGGTTGTTCCATATGATTATTCCATATCTTCAGTGGTTTTCTAGAACATAGATGGGGTCCCACATTACTTGACGCTGGAGAGTAAAGTAGTACATAGTAGCATGAGGCAAACACGTTTTTTTTTTGTATGCATGCCTGCGGCCACTCGTTTCATAAACGTCTTCGAGAACAATCTCAAGTTTGCAAGCGCGAGCTGGTGACGAGATATCAGGGGTTGGTGGATGAGCGCTCCGGAAGCGCGTACGTACGTCAAGGATTCTCTGTAGACTTTCGAGAAAAGCGTCAAGCTGCTCGCCGTTCCTTTAAGAAATGAATTAGAACCGTGATGGTCAGTTACCTGATTTAGTAACGAGCGGCTCAGGGTTTGCCTTTGTTCAATCTTCCCGAGCCATCTGAAAGAGCTTCGACAAAAGCCCTTTGACACGAAACGGGGCGCAGGACCTGTCACACCCTCATTCTCAGCGGGTGATCCAGAATCGTAGCGTGAATATTGTGAAGTGGCAGACTTGGTTGTCAACGGGCAAAACTTTGAAATCAACAAAGGGGCGTCGAGGAGTCAGCTGAGCTGAACGCGTTTTTTTTTGTTTCCAGAATCCATGCTTCTTCTTGGAACAAGCGAAGCAGTGAGCGACAAGACTCCAATTTTGTCACCGGATGTTTTCCATTGTCTTGTTGGCGCAAGGAGTCATATGGTCGATCGAATGACTTGGAATTCAAAATTTGGCTTAACCCTCCAGCGCAGCATCGCCGTTAGATAGCTCCGAGCCAGTCCCGTGGAACGGTGTACTGACGTCGAGCTTGTAAAATAGCCTCCTAGAGAAGTTGATGAATAGGGAGCCCAGCCCTCGCGGATGTCTTGTAAAGCACACGCCAAATACCGTTCCCTTCACCGCTACTATTAGTATTAGTATTAGTATTAGCAGGAGTAGTAGTCATATCATCCGTAGAACAAAACATTTGCCGAGATTGGGTTTGAAGCGGATCGGATCGCCAACCTTTTTTTATGGGCCAAGGAATGTATCTGTCAGCTGTCAGCACAGCAGGGTGATTTGAAAGGTCCTTCTTGATCGCAAAGATACGGTATGAGGATGTGTTTCCTTGGGCGCCCAGCACGTTTGAGATCCACGGGCTCCGTCCGTAAGAGTGGTGAGTCATATCCGGGCCAAAAGAGAGAGATGATTTTTGCATAGCAGGCTCAAGAGCGCCATGATGGTCGCCGATTATAACACGATGAAACCGCCATCGGTAAAGTGAAATGAGAGATTCTGATCCATTAAGTTGAAGTGAAGGTCGTGTTTGCGGGACGTGGGCCAGGTGACGCGCCTCACGCGATGGTCGGCAAGAAACCGGAAGACGTGTGCATTCCTTATTCCTGTGCAAGTTCATGTAAGAAATTTGTAGTGTTTTTGTGTGTTCCTGCGCTAGACCATTTTTGCCAAGGATGGTGGCTGCATTACGTCCTTGCACCGACACCGACTCGATCAATATGACCGTAGAGGGATTGCGTGTAGAATGATTCGCAGTCCCGATGTGCGGGATGAAAGGGGATGTTTGATTGTCACGCATGGCAACATGGACTGCGCAAAGAGGATGAGATAACGCCGACGGTGTGACTGTGCCATCAGCCAAGACTCGGGTAATTGGATGCTGTGAGGCAGGTAAATGTAATAGAAATGGGGGCATTGGCTGGCATGATCTATTTTTTTGCGCTATCTGTAGAAAGATCAGAAAATTCTGTTCGAGAGTTGGCGACGACGGTTAAGCATGAGGTGGTAACGTGATATTGTGCCTAGAACAGTTAATTATACCTTGCATGATAAGTAGCCAGCGAAGATATTGCAAACCTTCCAGTAGCATTTTCTAAACAGAAACGCTGGCAGAAGACATGAAATTAGAAGGCGGGATCTTACTCTAATGGGATAATTCGGAATTAGCCGACATACTACGGTCCACGTCACAGGTGCGGCGGCGAACAATTCTGCGGTAGAGGGTGTTCGGCTCGGGTTCCGGATAAGACTGAGCGTCAAGGCAAAAGTCAAACGCACGCGTTCAAATGAAGTCTGCGATGAATCAATGAGGACTGCAGCATGGAGAAAGGGGGACAAGTAATCTGATTAGCTAAGCCAATATAGGAATTCCATGTAGAAAAATGACGGAGGTGAAATGTCACCCCTGAAGCCAAGGAGATCTGGGGAATCACATTGGTCGTGCGTGTAAGGTAGTGTGTTGGCGGTGGGGTTGGGACGTCAATAACAGAATGTCGATGACGTCGCTTCGTCCGAGGACGCATGCAATCCTGCAAGTACCCAAAAAAGGACATGATTTGCGAAATATCGTCGATATGTCAGAATAGGAAATCGTCCTCGTCGAACTCGACCAGCTCGTTTCACGGTATTCAATCAATTGATTCAATCTAACGCTTGCTTAGATATCCCATGGACACATGTACGTGTATTCTTGGCTTATTACACACCCTGAATGGCCTCCTTTTCGTGCCTTAACTCATCAGAATTCTACATAGAATCTTCCACCGACACAGCCTCGTCGCTCTGTCACCTTCATTTATAATCCGCCTGTCCCTTCCTCACTTGGAACTCTTTCCCGGTTCATCTTCTACTTTTAAGGTCCCATGGCTCCAGAAGGTATACCTGAGATCGTCACAACAGACCTTTCTTCAAATCATACAGTAATCCCGGTATTCGCTTCATCCTCTACAAATCCTTCCCCAAGAATCCTCCCAGATTCAACTTTCTTGTCTCCCCACCCTCAATCCCACCGTCGAGTATCCTTGGACTCTCGCTCTCATTCACCCTCCCCCACAGTCGTCTCGTCAAACGACGGTGCTTCCCAATTCGTCCCTCCGTCCCCAACCCTATCAAGCCGCTCCTCGGGCCATTTCGCTACCTCGCTTTCCCTCAGGGATAATAAACCAGACGAACACAACGGTTATTCCTCATTGCACATCCTCGGTTCTTCAATGAACAACGTCTTCACTCACCATCGAAAACCTAGCAATGCAACTTTCACAAGCTCTCATGAGGGTCACGCCAGCCTCGACGAAACAGAACCAGACCACGCCAGCGGTGATTATGGCATGGTTCATCTTCGTCCTGTTACATCGGATCCCACAAGCACAATGCCTTCTCCTACCCACACACACGTAGACACAGCCTCCATCCTATCCAGGTCTCTACCTGCTAAATCCGTCGACAACATCGTCCAAACGTCTACTTCACGTGATCCGAATACTCAGCCAAACCCTTCAGACAGCCGCAAATCACTTCAGTCCAACCCCGACGTCCAAAAAATTGAACTCGAACAAGACGACCAGGTGGACCCTAGTCCATTTAAATTTAGGCCAGTCGAGTTGGCCAGTCTTCTCGACCCAAAAAATCTCGGCGCACTCGAGGCTTTAGGGGGCACAGACGGCCTTCTTCATGGCCTAGGAACCGACCCTTCCCGGGGTCTAACAACAACCGGCACTGCAGACAACAGATCAGGTGCTGGTCTAGGCAACTCTCAAAGGCATGATCGGCAACCTTTGTCTGTACACGATCATCCTGACGTTCAAATACCCGACGGCCCTCATTCGGCGTTAATGGAAGATCGCAAGCGTGTATTTGGTGAAAACGTGCTTCCACAGCGAACAAGCAAAAGTCTACTTGCCCTCATGTGGCTCGCATTGCAAGATAAAGTTCTTGTGCGTATATACTAAATCGGTCAAACTCAATCTTCACCTCCTCGTGTTTCAAGGTCTTGTTGTCTATCGCAGCCGTGGTTTCACTCGCCCTTGGCTTGTTTCAAGATTTTGGGACCCCTCAGACTACCGGAGAACCCCCAGTAGATTGGGTGGAAGGTGTTGCCATCATGATCGCGGTTCTCATTGTCGTAAGTGGCCTGCACTTTTTTTTTTTTTTTTGGTCATCCAACGTTCAATTTTTCATAGGTTGTCATTGGCTCGATAAATGATTGGCAGAAGGAACGTCAATTCAAGGTTCTCAACGAGAAAAAGGAAGAGCGTGGGGTTAAAGTCATCCGCAACGGCATCGAGCGTCTCATCGATGTGAAAGTAAGCTTGTTCTCATTTTAATTTCACGCCTTTATCATTTTTTGTGCTCACAGGAAGTCGTGGTCGGCGATGTGGCATTATTGGAACCCGGCGAAATAGTTCCCTGCGACGGCATCTTCTTAACCGGCTACAACGTCAAATGTGACGAATCAGCGGCAACTGGCGAGTCGGATGCTATTAAAAAGGCGTCTTTTGCAGATTGTCTGGCACTGAAACACGCGCTAAGCGGTGACACCCTCGGAGGGGAGCACGTATCTACCCACACGGACTGTTTTGTCGTCAGTGGTAGCAAGGTTCTGGAAGGCATCGGAAGCTACGTCGTCGTCGCAGTTGGCACGAAGAGCTTTAACGGCAGGATCATGATGGGTGTGCCATCTTTCTTTGATAGCCAATGTCCCGCTTAACTCCGACTCCATTAGCCCTCAGGACGGAGACGGAGCACACGCCCCTTCAGTTGAAGCTCAACCTTTTGGCTGAATTAATCGCGAAGATTGGAAGTATTGCCGGCATCATTCTCTTCTCCTCTCTGATGATCAGATTCATCGTGCAACTCGCTAAAGGCCAGCCTTCCAGGTGACGAACCTCAATCATGACATACGCGACTTTTCTAATTGGTGCGCTACAGGTCTGCCGACCAGAATGGTATGGCTTTTGTCCAGATTCTCATCATCTCGGTCACGTTGGTCGTGGTCGCCGTTCCAGAAGGTAATGGTTCTGCTTTGTTACGTCAAGTGCACTACGCCTTAACGAGCGTGTTTATAATCAGGACTCCCATTGGCTGTGACTCTCGCTTTAGCATTCGCCACTAAGAGGATGACGAAAGAAAACCTCCTGGTACGCGTCTTGGGCTCTTGCGAGACGATGGGCAACTCCTCCGTCATCTGCACCGACAAGACCGGTACGCTCACTCGCAACGTCATGTCTGTGGTCGCAGGCTCCATCGGAATCCATGCCAAATTTGTGCGCAAACTAGAACACAATCAAGCCCGCACAAATGCGAACAGAAGTCGAAGCCCACGCAGGAACTCTGATGCGAAACCTCCCCGCGACGATTTCAGTATCGATCAATCAATGCTAAACACCGTTCTGAGCCGACCACTTCTTTCGCTATTTAATGCCGCTATCGCTGTGAACTCTACCGCATTTGAGGACGTGGAGAAGGAAAGTGGAGAGCGCGTGTTCGTGGGAAGTAAGACAGAGACGGCGCTTCTCAACTTTGCAAAGGAGCTTGGGTGGACAGATTGTAAGGAGACGAGGGATGCGGCAAAGGTCGTGCAGATGTTTCCATTCTCCAGCGATCGCAAGGCTATGGGCGTGGTGGTCAAAACCGAGCATGGTTATCGCTTCCACGTCAAGGGCGCTAGCGAGATTCTGACAAAGCTGTGCAGCAGTCATGTTGTTGTAGACCAGCACGGGAGTACTCGCTCCTACACTGATGATGTCGAGGTGGCGGAGATCGATGGCTTCTCGGAAGAGAACATCTCCAGGACTATCATTTTCTACGCGAATCAGACTCTGCGGACTATGGCTCTGTGCTACAGGGACTTTCCATCTTGGCCACCGCCAGGGGTGCAAGCCACGGCGATCGACGAAGTGGGTATATTCTCAGTGATATGTTGACATACTAAATGTGTTCTAGGTCCCATATGATGACATCGCTCAAGACCTAACATTGATCGGAATCGTCGGGATCGAAGATCCGCTCAGAGATGGTGTTCGAGAAGCAGTGGACAATTGTCACAAAGCCAGTGTCGCCGTGAAGATGTGTACAGGTGACAATGTGCTAACGGCGCGTTCAATCGCTACGCAGTGCGGTATATACACGGCCGGCGGCATCATCATGGAAGGACCCGTCTTTCGGCAGCTTGATGAATCGCAGATGCTCGAGATCGTTCCACGGCTCCAGGTCCTAGCTCGTTCTTCGCCTGAAGACAAGAAGATACTGGTAGAGAAGCTTCGTGCGCTCGGGGAGATCGTTGCCGTCACTGGCGATGGTACGAATGACGGACCCGCTCTCAAAACAGCGCACGTAGGATTCTCCATGGGCATAGCAGGGACAGAAGTAGCCAAAGAGGCGTCTGACATTATTCTGATGGACGATAATTTCTCTTCCATCGTCAAGGCGATCATGTGGGGTCGTTGCGTGAACGACGCAGTTCGGAAATTCCTACAGTTCCAGATCTCCACCAACGTTACTGCTGTGGTGATCACTTCCGTAACCGCCATCGCTTCCAGTTCTGAGACGTCGGCGCTGTCGGCTGTTCAGCTGTTGTGGATCAATATCATCATGGACACGTTCGCTGCGCTTGCGCTTGCCACGGACCCTGCATCGCCGGCGTTACTGAATCGGACGCCTGATAAGCAGACGGCACCGCTTTTCACTGTGAACATGTACAAGCAGATCTTGTTGCAGTCCGTCTACCAGATCACCGTCATCCTTCTCTTCCACTTCCTTGGTACCCAGATCCTGGGGTTTGACGAGACGTCGGGCAATGACACCATTATACAGACGCTCGTCTTCAATGCGTTCGTTTTTGCTCAGATATTCAACTCGGTGAATTCGCGAAGGCTGGATCGGAAGCTCAACATCTTTGAAGGCATGCTTGACAATTGGTACTTTATGGCTATCACCCTCATCGGTGAGTCGCGTCATATCATGTCTGGACTACCCTCACAGCTGGTTTACAGAGATCGCTGTGCAAGTGATCATCGTGTTCATCGGGGGCACCGCATTCCAGGTGACGCGTATTGGAGGTCGTGAATGGGGCATCTCACTCGCCCTTGGCTTTGTATCCATCCCCCTCGGTGCGATCATCCGCCTGCTCCCCAACGGACCCTTTGAACGCCTCTTCATACTAATGCGCTTACTGCCTAAACGCCAAGGCGGTCTTCCAAAAGTTCGCCCAGAGGTTGAATGGAACTCTGCGATTGAACTTGTGCGTGATAATCTCGCCACATTCGCTAACCTGCGGGGTGGGCGACTTCGTTCGTCTTCATTCGTCGTCAAGAGTCGTCAGGCTAGATTACACGATGATAAACGTGTTCCTCTGTATGTGCTAGTGTTTGGTTTGGCAGATGGCATCCTTAATTTTTTCTAGCCCTTCGTTGATGACCATGGTCCCGACGCTTATTGCATCTTCCATCGGAGCTGGCTGGGCACCACAATCACGCGGTACTCTATCGGACCCTGCTCGCTACGATCCCTCGAAGTCCTCTGCTGCCCTTTGGGAAGGCAGGCTCCAAATTCATCCCGATACGAAGCCAGACGATGCACTGTATCACACAAAATGGGGTCGCGGAAACCGTCCGTCCGCGGTGTAGTTGTGTTGGGTATTGTTTGTCTGTCTGTTTGTTTGCCCTATGCGGACTAATGGAGGATTCCTGCCACTCGGAGGGGGGAAATCTTGCCATGCTGTGTCGTTATCCATAATCCTTTATTCCAATATCTATATCAGGCGACCAACCCACAGTCATAAACGCGCAGGCTGCTAGCGGAATGCCGTCGTAATCGCATCTATTCGAATCCGCTGGTCGATCGTTCTGATGGAAGGGGCCACCGGGTGACTGGCTCATGGCCATCGCCACGACTGGGAAGCGTGGTGCATGTGCGCTCCACTCATCCCAATCATATCTACGATAACATAATCTACCCTGCCTTTCACGTTTGATTCCCACACTCACGGCCAAACACGCATATGACACGCATCTGGTCGTTTTTACGCATTCTTCGTTCTGTTTCACGCACCAAACAATGTTACGGTATCCCCCTTTCACTTAACCCCTTCGTGACATCTTAAATTCGTGCGTTCACTTATATAACAATACACGCACGAATCTACGCATTTTGAACGGCTTCTTGCAATGTCAGGACTAGATTGACTCCACACATTCCTACTGTATCCATACTATTATTCTTATTATAAGATACACACCCCTTTACCAATATTTCTATAACAAATGATATATTTTTCCCCAAATGTCCATGGCTTCGTGTCAAACTGCAAGAGGTGCAGCGTGACGTTTTGGCTGAAAAGCTTTGGCCTGTCCATGTCAGGGACAATCGCGTTCCCTATCCTGCTTAGTATTAGGCCGGGGCCCTTGTGCTCGATGGGGGAAAAGTGTACATCCGGTCACTGATCTAGTAGCTCCATGCACAGCCCGACAGCCGTTCCGAACCATGCCATCGTGATGGTGCCGTTTCGTGAAGGATGACACATGCGCCGCCAGCCAGATTAGTGCATGCTGAAGAATCGTAGAATGACGTTCTGGAACGCGCCTCACAATGTCCTGTTGCCAAGGACAAAAAAAATTCATCCGTCAATTGGCACAGAGTACAGCCGCGGCATAAAAAATCAGTCGATGAATTTGGAATTGTTTGGAAATTCTGTACAGAACGCGACCCACGCCGACGTGCCTTCTTGGGAATAGGCACTGGCTTGCCAAGTTGACAGCGGTGGCGGACTGCGCTGCATAGGTTTAGCGGGCGGATCTGCTTTTCTCTTATTTTAACTCTTTATCAAACTGCGTCAGATTGGAGAGCGAGCGGTGGTTATTCCCAGGCCCAGGGACCCTACACTCGTAGCTTCGACGTGACAATCGGCACGATGCAATGTATTTTGTGAGCAAGTATAGGGGCGTAGGTGTGAAGTAAAATCCAAGTGTAGAGTGATGACGGATCCTGTGTTCATAAAAAATCAGGTACGTGCGTTGTTGACAGCATAAGCATTGGGTGTACTCAAGTGCTGAGAACGCCGTTTTGTGCGTGTGCTCATGAAAGCCTGTCTCACATGATAGACATCATGCTATCAACACGCGGTGGCATTCAGCACCAGACGGACGCGCTCTCTGGGTATGTTTTAGGATGGCTGTTCTGCTAGCTGCGTTGATCGAGCTCCGTGCTGGCTACAGGCGGAGACCAGAGCTAGACCATGTACATACTTGACTTGATGAAAAAACGTTGGCGGAGCTGTGTGAATTGCATGTGGTCCGTGATCATGTATGAGCGAGACCAAAATTTCATCCTTGCAGTACTCAGCCAGCGGACTGCAGAGTCACCTGAGCTCATAATATTAGGACTAGGATCCGAGAAATCGATCGGCGGCTGCCTACGTCGTGGTTTACTATGATCGAGGAAGCACTGGACTTGAAAAGCCCGAGGATAGCTATGTATACTCTCCCCGAGGTAATGCAAATAGTCAAGGTTAGTACAAGGCGTAGGATTGCCGCGGTTGAGAAGCGAGAAACCCTATCGGTTCATGGTGGTGGTGCAGACTTTAGTTGAAGTCCATCTCCCAATATAAACACAACACCACAACGAAGATCTTTGTTCCTTACTCAAAATTTCTAAAAGCTTAACCAATGTTGAAACATCTTATCCGATATCGTAGCTCGTCTCTTACTGGCAAAGTCACTTGTCATTTTTTTAGAGAAGCGGGCGTTCTACTACTTGCTGGATCTTTACCGCCCCGACGTCATGTGGCAGAATCAGAGAACTTTGAAAATAACGTCGTCGCGGAATCAGATGACTTTAGTAACGGCGGGTTGTCGTGTCAACGCTCTGTACCCGGACCGACACTGCTCTCTGAAGTTCTGGTTGGGTCTACGCGCTCAGAGTCCATGCCGGTATACCCCGCCTTCACCGCCCCAGAGGTAATAAGAGAGCCTATGCTAGATCATAACGAGATACCGGGGGTATCAAGTTCTCAACTTGGTAGCGAACGCAGTCAGTGAGGAACAGAAAGGCAAGGAGTGTCATGACGACTGCCGTGTTTCTACGAATGAGGACGGTGGGAGGGAAGGCAGAAGCGCCGGCTAAACGTACCAAAGACGAGCTTCTCCCGAGCTTCAAGCACATCAATATTCCAAATGTAGTCTTACTATTAGGCATGATTTTATAACGTCATGCACACTTGCGGAAGCTGGTCGCGTCCGAGAGGACCGGTGTGCGGCAAGACGTACTATGGGCTGGAGCGTGACTACTTGCGTGTTTGATTTTTGTTTACCCAGCGTCGATGAGAAACAATGTGTGTTTCTGCGGGCTAGACAGAGAAAACTCAACGAGTGTCTTGCAACCCAATAACTTGTAGTATCATTGGGTCATCACGTGGCTGCTGTATGATGGAGCGCACCAAAAATTGGTTCAGCAATATAAGTTTCTTGTAGTCATGTATGAGTATACAAAGGAGGTGTACGTAGGTGAGTCAAGGATATGGCAGGTATGAATCCAGATAGATAGCAAAGGGGAAGATCTAGGAAGACAAATGTGTCGGTAGGTAAGCATGAAGGCAGATGAAACACCAGAACGCTCGCACCTTCATGAGTGGAAAATTAGGCACGTACTATAACTCTTTCAGCCCAGGTGTCTCCACCCATGAGCGAAACACGTCTCCTTCCTGGCCCCAGAGGTAATATATGGCCCGTCGTTGCATGACCATGACATGCTGCGGCAAGTATTGGAACAGTCCAATCATCACCAACATCGTCAAAAGCGAGAATATGATCACTGCGGACAGATCAGAAAATTACGACATGAAAAGATGGGACTCACAGCAGAGAAGTTTCTCCCAAGGCTCAAGCATAGACAGTGCCAAGGTCGACTCGAACTTGACTCTTTGCCTCCATAAGTAGTCCTTCACCATGACGAAAAATAGTTAGGGAGCGATTGTAGTTGAAGAGCAGGCAAGCAAGGGTAGAAGATGGTTCCACAAAGAATACGAGTACTTAAGTTATAGTCCGCTGGCCCTTTGAGTTAATCCAATCACGCTGCCCGAGAGGGCGGAAATTGGCGGAAATAGAAGTCATTGATTTCTTGACACGTGATGCGCTACAAGTCCCACCCTGATCAATGGGTTACAACTTACGGGTATCTTGCAGTCTTGTCACCGCTGCGCTGGCGCATCGCACGTTTTGTCATGAGCCAAGTTTTTCCGAGACCGAGAAACCAAAAGAAGGCCAATATTGGTATGTTTTAGTTGCAGTGACCACCCTCATTACCAACTTTGAGTCGGTGCTGTAGGTCTCTTTCGTTGCAAGTGCTGTGATAACGGCGCCCCGGCCCTGTAATGGTAACGTCACTCTTAGCCATTCAAATCATTGATTGCGAAAAAGTTGACCCGCACAACACATTGTCGACTCACGCGCGGGATGTGGACGCCGTTGGCCATCGCAAGCTTTACTGCTTGCTTTGTTCCAACTTGCAAGGCAACCCGCTGTTGCGCCGTGTGTTGACACGGACAATCTTTTGTTCCAGAACTTATAAAGTATGTCAACGAGCTATATTATCTGCTGGTCTCGATGTTTTTATGTGATCATAGCATGAGTGACTGTGAATCATGATGTGTTGGCATCTCAGCTTGATTATTTCTGGCAATGTGCCCGGAAATCATTGGCGCAACTCAAAGGGTGATGATCTGCTGGTACTAGCCCCATGGTACCCCTGACCCTTATGTCCAGCTATCTGCTCGTGAGGTCGCTGCGTTCTAAACCATATGCATCTCTGTTTCACCTTCTGAGCAAATAGTTCAACATTTCCGCTCATGCTAAGTACTAAGTACCAGGCTCCTGTTGATGTCGAAAAATGAAACGTAGTTTTGTACATGGTGTAAGAGATACATAGAGGTACATAGGTGTGATTTGTGGTAGCGCGGAGCTGTCAGATTTATCACTGTTGGTCGGATTTGGATTGTACTGGCAGGTATTTCGGCGAGTTGAGATAATAAAGTTACGCGGGCGGAGAATCCATAAGACAAATGATGGAAGAATAAAGTACGAGACATAATACAGTTAAACAGTAGCTTCAATCTCCCTATGAAAATCAGCGTGAGTTTTGCAAGGGTTGCATCAAATGCTAAGAGACATACTTGACAGGTATACGTGATGGACCCCTTGTGCCTCAATCCAGACAACGTAAAGTACACCCACATCCATCTGCCAATCAAGAACCTCAGGCTATAGCTCCTTCACACTGGCTGCCGCATGATCCATCCAGTGGTTTAGTACACGCTCGTCGCCCCAGAGATAGTATGCAATGCGAGGTAGTAGTGAGATCAACTGACTGGGTATTATCCGAGACAGGCCGGTAAAGAATAGGAAAGTGAGTAGAGACATGACGATTACTGTATGAGGATGACGGTCAAGAGTGGTTGGGGGTCGTCGAACATGGAATACTCACCGAAAACAAGTTTCTCCCAAGGTTCTAGACCACATATAGCAAAGGTGGCCTCAAACATAGTCCATTGCTTCCATGCATACGCGCTGAGTGAGTTGCATCGAAAGCCAGTAGTATCCCTTGCCAGCGGGGGTGGCTTAAAGGGGCGGGTCATATTGTGCAAGAAAGAATATGAGAAGGAGAGAAAGTATGACAATATTAACGATATGGTGAGATACACTCCGGTGTCATCAAAGTATATATACGTGAACGCGTGAACTGTTGAATGTGAATGTAGGGTTATTTTTATCGGTGGGATGATCTCGGCCATCATCGTGGTAACCAACCAAAACATGCATATTAATAATTCCCGTTTCCTGCAATTCACAGACTCATTGCAACAGATATAAAGATAAACCTATCCAATGGGCCATAACCACGACTCGAGGATACACTCATCAGAGACAGGTGTTCACACACGCGTTACCACGGTTGTCATACACAGGTCGTCGTCGTCTGTGTTGTTGTCGACATGCCATACAATCGAGAGGATCACTCGCAGCAGTCGTCGTCGATGGGAGGCATCGTGCCCTAGGTCTGGCTTTTCGAAGCTCATCTCTTTCGAACTCCGAAGCAGTATCATTGGTGCCCCATGCATTGCTGGATCGTTAAACATCAGTTACGTCGAACGCCACAGTGGCTACACATGATGGGTCACGATGACGGACCGCTAGGACAAGTCAAAACCATCCGCACGGATGATCAGATGGATGCTGACGGAGAGCAAAAAATAGCCAGCAAAGTTTCAGTGGGCAAGGACTCAGCGAGCGTCAAGATTGCCAAGTTGACTGCCCGCCTCCTGGCGTTAGTACTAGTGTTTCTCCCTCAGCTTCAGTACTCACCCATTTTATAGGCAGCGCTTTGGGGGGATTCCAGGAGTACCGGTTGGGGCTAAATGGGAGGATCGGTCTGTATCTTCATTCTCTTTTGATTCAGTTGAATTTATTTGTTCGTGTCTTTGTAGCCAAGGGTGTTCTCGTGCTAGCGTACACCGTCCTTTTATGGCTGGCATATATGGCACTAAACACACCGGCGCCTTCTCAATTGTCGTTTCGTGTCACTACAAAGATGACAAGGATTTTGGCGATACGATGTAAGCATCTACCACACTGCTTCATTTTAGAGCGTGACCATTGTATTCTGAGCCTTACGTGTATATAGCTACTATACAGGTACAGGTGTGTATTCACAACCTAGGTTCAACTATTGTATGCCAACGTGGTAGCGTCAGGGGGTCGCAAGCGGTGGTCTGATAGCTGTCCTCCGAAGCGTGTAGGTCATCTTCTTGCTCATATAGCGTGATTATTCATTGAAAATTTCAAGCTCCGGTTAGGTCCGCAGATTTTTGATCAGCAGTGGTCAGATCCAGGAAACGAAGCACTTGTCGTGAGTTTTTCTGTCTTTGAACGTGAGATCCCAAAATGACTGCAGGACAGAAATCGCGTGATACAGGTAACCCCGTGCGCGTCGTCCGAAGCTACAAAGTACTTTCCGATTTTGCGCCTGCCGAAGGCTACCGTTATGATGGTCTGTACACCGTCGAAAGTGTAATGTTATTTCCCATATCTATGGAGGATGCGCCAGCATTGATACTCAAACCTTCAAAGGCATGGAAAGAGAAAAATCCTCAAGGTCTGGATATCTGTCGCTATAGGTTAGAGGTAAGTTACATTCTAAACCATAGGTCTCTGATTAGACTGATGATGTATCAACAGAGGGTTCCAGGTCAACCTCCCCTACCCCGTCGTTCGCCTGGAGGTACCGATCATGAGCCATCTCCCACCTCCGTAGCTACCTCAGATACTGCCGTCTCGCCCTCACATGCGTTGATCAGCCGTAAGCGCAAGACTCAGTCATGTTCACCCCAAGATGATCCAACGATCTATGCCGATGCGGCGTCTAAGAAGTGCAAACTCGCCGATCAAGCGCCGCCCCAACCATTGTCGTCTTCACCATCATCATCATCTGCCGTGCAGCCACAGGTTTTGACGCCGGTCCTGGTGACCATTGAAACCCCGCTGCAGAAGCATAACCAGCGGGTGCAGAGCGAGTTGCAGAAAGAGAAACAACAATGCTTCCCTGGAACGAGCTCTTCCATGAAGACACCTGTGAAGAGGCGACCTAGCATGTGGTCCAGCCAATCCAAGCCCAATAGCCTCATATGGAGACCCATGCGGAGCATCTCTTACGATGAGAATGACGAAAATACCGATCTAACACTTGATGACGAAGACATTGATATACCATTTGATGAGGAAGATGAGGATGATCTACTACTCGAAGACCTCGAAATCACGGCGGCTTCCCTATTTTCATCGCTCTTATCACCATCACCCTTCTGAGCGAGTCATCAAATACCTACTATATACCGGGTGCTCTGCTTTCTTGCTTTCAAGACCTCGAATCCATGTTTCTCATTCACTTCGCCCATCTGGTAGGACCAGTCACGGATGCACAGTACCCTTTTTCTGTTTTCTTGCTTTGAGGATCATTTGGAGTGTCTGTCTGCTGATACTGCTCTACTAGGTCTGTCTACGTTTAGTTAAACTTGTGTCTGTTGCCCCGTACTTGCGCAATTCAGAAATTCACGCAGAACTACGGGACAATCTAAGTATGCAACCTCGTCTCGCAGGAACAGATGCAAATCAATTATCGACGCATCATTATTCGTTGGTGGAGTCGAACCTTGGCCTGGTCAGATGATTATGGGTTTCGAACTCCGACAGAGCAGCAGTCTATGTATAAGAAGTCTCATTGTTGGCCTCGTGTGCTTATCTCCATCATCTTGACCGTCGCTGACGACAGAATACTCAAGGACTCAGAGGCAAAGACATCAAACAGTGTTTAGGACCAGAAGATGAAAGAAGAAACACCCAGAAAAAGGCACAGGAAGGTCAGGGTACCAAGTGAGAGGTCGGTGTTAGCAATATTCAGCCCAGTGTCCCTCCATCGACCACACTGTTTAAACACTTTCTTTGCAGGCACCACTTTGGGGAATATCCCGGAGCACCTTTCGGGACAACATGGACTGATCGGTGCGTACTGTGGATTTTCGTGTAATCACTTCAGTTGCCCCATCTGTCTATCTGTAAACAGCACGGAATGTTTTCATGCTGGTGTGCATCGCCAATTGGAGCCTGGTATACATGGCAAAAAGCGAGCGGGTGCCTTCTCGATTGTCGTCTCGGGTCAATACAAAGATGACAAGGATGAGGGGGACACAATGTAAGCACCTAGCGGCGCTTATTTTCGAGCCGGATCGGTAATCTTACCTGTCCATATAGCTTATATACAGGTTCAGGTATGTAGTCACAATACGGGCTACAAGATTGTATGCCGACGCGGTATCATCAGGAGGTTGCAAGCGCAGTGATGGCGTAAGTTGCCCTTTCGCTCTTATAACTTGACCATCGACTCAAACACCCAAGACGCGCGAGCAGACCTGTGATCAGACATGGTCAGACACTGGAAATAAAGCACTTTATGTGAGTTCTATGTCGGATAGATGTGAGGACGGGAAATGACGGTACAATAGAGATCCTCCATAACAGGCAAACCCGTGCGCGTTATTCGGGGCTACGAGCTCGAATCTGAATTTGCGCCCTGGGAAGGCTTTCGGTATGATGGCTTATACGTCTGTAAAGATGTAACATTGCTTTAATATCTACATATATCCGTGAGCACTGATACTTTGTCTTCAAAGGCATGGCAAGAAAAGAACAGAGACGGTCATTATGTCATCTGTCGTTACCGAATGGAGGCAAGTCTCCTAATGATCAGGCTTTGATTAGACTGACTAGTGTCAAAAGAGAGTTCCAGGCCAACCACCCTTACGCCGTCGTTCAACGGTTGTCGGCCTTTACAAGCCAATACCAGGCTTCGAAGATGTGCAGCCGCTAGCGCCAGGGCCAGCTCCAGTAAATGGACGCCAAAGATTCAGGGATCGGTTGAAGGCCTTGTTGGATAATGATCAACGAATTCATGGCCCCTGTAAAGAGCTCCGTCGTTGAGCTCGCTTGCGAACATGGTATACGTGAGGCCCTCTTGCGCCTATCACGCCTAAGCCCAGGTTCAGCGAGATTCAAAGAAAGGAAAGGAGGCCCCCGAGATGTCCTGATGATGACGAAGTGCATCTATGAGGAAGAAGATGAGGCAGATGTAATACCTGATGACCTTGAGATGGATATTGTACCAACAGACCGCAACCACAACTTTCGATGCACTACCCTCCGACTTGACCAGTAGATAGCCCTCAAAACATGCACCACAGCAGGGCACGATTACATACCGAGTCTCAGACTGGCGTTCGCATGCCAATATTCCGACGACCGTAGAAAAAAAAACATCAATGCAAAGATGAGCAGGCACCTTGCTCACACTGTCCATAGGGACAGCCGCAACAACACTCGAACGAGCTTTGTAAAATCATTAGCCATAATATGCAAGGACGAACCGATTAGCTCTGGAAGTAGTTCGCATATGTGCGCTGGTATACGGGGTATGCATTAAACGACGTTATGACTGCATGATGTCGGATGAGATAACATCATGGGATGTCAGATGACGGGAGAGATCGTCGTAATTAAAGACTGGTAGATTAATGATGGCCGTCAGTGTATTCAGGAGATGTACAACATATAAAGGGCCAGAAGCGAGTCCAGCGTGTGATATCGTTGTGGTAGCGACGACGGGAGGTGTGGAAACAAGATAGAGAAAGCAGCATGCCCTCGGTTTTTCTCATGCTGGTGCGTTCCTCTGCGTGATATGAGGCGGAATTCAAACGTGAAAATGTTATCAAGTAGAATTGAATATTCGAGTAGATAGACAGGAACACGCGCGTTTGGCCTGGCCAGTGGCAATACGGCACGTCAACTAATACTGAGGGATGCTCATGCAGCTCGATATCTGCATCGCTTGGTCTGCCAGAGAGGCGATTCAGAACCCAGTGGAAAGGGCGGGGTCGCGATGGCGTATTGTGGGTATCTGAGTGTATGGGGAGGGATAACAATAAAAGTGGCCACGATCCATACAATCGTGATGTGATGGTGATGGTCAGGACGGTGTCGTACTCAGACAACGGAGAAGATTGAGGCGCTTACAAGACATTAACGACGTACGTGAGCACGATTTGGTGGGCCGTTAAAGAAACATCGGGGTACATGGTGACGGACAGAACGTCGTGTAGCATCAACCTAGAATGCAAACTCGTCTGTCTTCACTGCATCCAAGATTTTGACTTCGAATAGCAGTCGAGGGCTCCAAGTTCTTGTATCCACCGGTGCTCGCAATTGACTTGGTCGTGTCTTGCGAGTAAACGACGGCATATTGCAAATGGTGACTTGTCTCCGCGAGCTCCGAGCAATTGTCTTTTCGGTCTCCGCGTCCTACTGCCTTGCAGTCTCATCTTAAAACACGCCCGCCACTAGCCGTAAACATCAACTCCAGTCTCCAGCGGATCGACCTGACTGGCCGTGTATGCCTTATCCATTTCGCAATGATCTTGCCTGTGTTGATTCCCACGACCTCACCGCACCAACCACACTTCCGCTAACTCTTTTCTTACCGCCTGAAGACAATACCATGGTCTCACTCTCACCGTCCTGTCAATTCCGTCCTATCTGTTCTCCACTCTTCAATTCACATACCCGCAGCAAGCCGTCCGTTGGACCTAGTCATCATCCGCTCTCCGCCTAGCAGATGTATGGCGCCAAAAACCAGATTGATGTGTCCTTCAAATTTCTGCTGGGCGTTATCGCTGATGTCTCCTGCTTCACAGCAACGGGTAAAGTCATAATCAACTATCAGGTGCAGCTTCGTTCTAGCTTTCATCCAACAAAGGCCAAAACCAAAACCATCACTCACTACGATGTGTTTCTCAACAGGTCTCGAAGCGTTGACACCAAGGCACAATGGGCGTTTAGGTCAAGTCAGTGTCGAGTTTACTGGAAGCTCGAGCTGGTACATTGTACATGTGACATCCTCGTGATTACTTCACAGCTTTTAGTGTAGGCTACGTGGCAGATGTCCGTCATCTCCGAGTGGCTCATGCTCAATACCCATCTGGTGCGTAAGATATATATTTGACCGCCACTAAACTCACTAGACGGGTAACTTTCCCAATCGCTGATACCGGTCACCATGATATTCTATCTTCATCCACAAACTTTGGAATAACATCACTACACGTGAACTTTGTGATATAGCCTTGGTGGTGGATCACTGTCGTAGTTTCCAAATAATCCGGCTTGCTGGTGGCTAAGCGCTGATGTCTTGCGGATAGGCTTGCCATTCGTTGAGACAATGACGCCTTCAGTCAGGGAATGCAGCTGCTGAAGGTAGTATTTTTGGATTACAGCTCGTCCATGCTCGCGCCCTACCGTGTAGATGTCGCCGATATTCGGAATGAATATATGATTATGATGATCATTCTATCATGTAAACCCTATGAAGACAGAAGGTGTGTTGAGACTGGACAGGGTATTATTCACTGCATTTCCCACTGTTCCCAGCTCGAGTCAGGATGCAGCATTCCGAATAACCATGGACTTGAAGACTGAAGTTACGGCTTTCGAACTCCGACACAGTAGTCTATAAGTACTGCTTATCTCCATTGTCTTCACAATCACCAATAGCCCAATAAACAACGTTCGCACTCAGAAGGACTTGGATGCGAAGACATCAGTGCCTGGGACGAAAAGATTGGTGATCCAAGAGAAATGTCTAGCCAAATACTGGCGTAAGTCTCTCAGTGTTCCTCCCTCAATTATATATATTCACGCAGTGTCTTTGCAGGCATCACTTTGGGGAAATTCCAGGAGCACCTGTCGGGACGACATGGGCGACTCGGTGCTTGGTCTTGATTCTCGTTTGATACATCATTTACCTGATCTGCCGATCTGTTCACAGCAAAGAATGTTATAATGCCGGCGTGCATCTTCAATCAGAGCCTGGTATACACGGCACTAAGGAAATGGGCGCATTCTCGATTGTCGTCTCGGGTCAATACAAAGATGACAAGGATGAGGGGGACACGATGTAAGCACCTAGCGGTACTTATTTCGAGCCACATTAGTAATATTACCTGTTCATATAGCATTTATACAGGTTCAGGTGTGTACTCACAATCGGGGCTACAAGATTGTATGCCAACTTAGAATCATCAGGGGGTCACGAGCCCAGTGATCGTGTAAATTCTCATTGTACTTCGTAGCTTGACGCTGATTGTAATTCCCAAGACGCGCGAGCAGGTCCGTGACCAGGAATGGACGGATTTTGGAAACGAAGCACTTCGTGTGAGTTCTATGTCGGATAGATGCGAGGACGGGAAATGACGGTACAATAGAAATCTTCCGAAACAGGCAACCCCGTGCGCGTCGTTCGGGGCTACGAGCTCGAATCTGAATTTGCGCCCTGGGAAGGCTTTCGTTATGATGGCTTGTACACTTGTACACGTGTAATATTTTTCTTAATATCTACATACATTCGTTGAGCACTGATACTTAGTCTTCAAAGGCGTGGCAAGAAAAGAACAGAGACGGTCATTATGTCATCTGTCGTTACCGAATGGAGGCAAGTTTCCTAATGCTCGGGCTTTGATTAGACTGACCAGCATCGAAAGAGAGTTCCAGGTCAATTACCCTTACGCCGTCGTTCGACGAATTTCCCTCGTTACAGGCTATTACCAGGCGAAGTCGTGCAGCCGCCAGCGCCAATGCCGCCCCCAGTAACTCCCCGTCAAAGAATCATGCAGCAGATTGGGGCCTTGGTAGATAGTGATCAACGAACTCACGGCCCCTCCAAAGAGCTCCACCGTTGAGCTCGCTTGTGAACGTGGTATGCGGGAGTGCTTATCACGCTCAAGCCCAGGCTCACTAAAATTCAAGGAAAGGGAACGAGGAACTTGTACGATAACCCTCGAGTGAAAGTGTGATATCACAGTGCAGATATGTTCCCTGAGGAAGAAGATGAGGCAGATGTAATACCTGATGCGAGATTAATATTGTACAAACAAACCCTCATGATATGGCCAATAAGCACGCGACTTTTCATAAAATGGGCGGTGGAATTCAGGTTCCTTCCAACCTCTGTTTCGAGTGTAGTCTAAGGGATGACTGATAGGCCGTGAGGGGAATAAAGTTGTACTGGCATATGACTCAGTGGACGACCAAATTTTGTTAGGTCAGCCTTGCATCGATTCAGATGAACATTTTATTTAGTATAGATTGCCAAATAAAATATTCATATCCATAGTATCCTCGTATTGATGGAATATTGTCGAGACTGGATAGGGGTTTTGTTCACTATGTTCCCCAGCCCGAGTATCTTGAACACTGATGAGTAGTTGGTTTATTATGAGTGTCACCCTTCACACTATGGAATCACTGACTATGCCGCCGGTTGCCCAGCACACAATTACAGAGGTTTGTATAAGTATACGGAATGGAAATGTCATTCCTCCGAGTCAGGGAAGCACATAAACACTTTAGAATTAGCTTTCGCAGATCGCAACACAGAATGATGAGTGCTGTGTTCGACACTTAAAAAAGACTTGGGGATCAATGGAAATTGGTTCTTGCGATCAGATGATTGTGCGGTAGTGATACATCGATAATGACTGTCTAATTTGCACCGTAACGAAAACAGGTTGTCCAAGACGGAGATGACCTCGAGCTTCTGACTTTAGGCTGTAGCTGCGCTAGTAGTTTGAAAAGAGTCGAAACTCCAAGATGATACTCAAGACATACCACGTTAGAGAGCCTCCTTGGGGGGCCCGTTCTTGGCAGGCTGAACCTCACGGGATTCCTCCTTGGGGGGACCGTTCTTGGCGGGCTGAACCTCACGGGATTCCTCCTTGGGGGGACCGTTCTTGGCGGGCTGAACCTCACGGGATTCCTCCTTGGGGGGCCCGTTCTTGGCAGGCTCAACCTCACGGGATTCCTTCTTGGGAGGACCATTCTTGGCGGGCTGAACCTCACGGGATTCCTCCTTGGGGGGCCCGTTCTTGGCGGGCTCAACCTCACGGGATTCCTTCTTGGGAGGACCGTTCTTGGCGGGCTGAACCTCACGGGATTCCTCCTTGGGGGGACCGTTCTTGGCGGGCTCAACCTCACGAGATTCCTTCTTGGGAGGACCATTCTTGGCGGGCTGAACCTCACGGGATTCCTCCTTGGGGGGACCGTTCTTGGCGGGCTGAACCTCACGAGATTCCTTCTTGGGAGGACCGTTCTTGGCGGGCTCAACCTCACGGGATTCCTCCTTGGGGGGACTGTTCTTGGCGGGCTCAACCTCACGGGATTCCTTCTTGGGGGGACCGTACTTGGCGGGCTCAGCATCACGGGATTCCTTCTTGGGGGGACCATTCTTGGCGGCTCAACCTCACGGGATTCCTTCTTGGGGGACCGTACTTGGCGGGCTCAGCATCACGGGATTCCTTCTTGGGGGGACCATTCTTGGCGGGCTCAACCTCACGGGATTCCTTCTTGGGGGGACCGTACTTGGCGGGCTCAGCATCACGGGATTCCTTCTTGGGGGGACCGTTCTTGGCGGGCTCAACCTCACGGGATTCCTCCTTGGAGGGACCGTACTTGGCGGGCTCAGCATCACGGGATTCCTCCGCAACAATGTCTGTGCCACAATGCACATCTCGTTAGACAATATGGAAACAATGGAAACACGCCGAGACATACCTGCGAATGCCTTTTGCGCGCGTTTCTCGACATCAGAGGGGTCCTCAGCAACAAGATCTGAATGGTTTTGACATTAGACATGGTGCAGATAGAATGAGCACGCTATAACATACACGCGAACTTCTTTTGCGCGCGTTCCTCGACATCAGAGGGGTCCTTAGCAACAAGATCTGAATGGTTTTGACATTAGACATGGTGCAGATAGGATGAGCACGCTAGAGCATACCTGTGAATGCGTTTTGCGCGCGTTTCTCGACATCTATGTCACCAACCAGGTAAGTAGTGCACCACAAGATGAGGCTAGCATTGAAGCCTCACCTTTGACGACCGGAGATGCCGCCGTCATCTGCAGCAAAGCCATGGCAACACAAACGAAAGATAAAGTGAGCTTCATTGTGGTTAGATGTAAGCGGTAGCGATTGTTGGAGGGTGTTGAGTGTACGATTGATGCAAGGAGTGAAGCTTTTATATCTTTGGGTAGCTCGATTATCTCCCAGACTCGCTCGCAGAAAAACATTCATCCTATAATCGGTTTGGAGTGTATATCATGTGCTTAGGAAAAGCCTGAGCTTTCTTCCGTTCACAACCTGCTTGTTCAATACACCACGATAAGGCGAAAAAGTCTGCCTCTAGGGAAGTCCGTATTGTTTCTTGATTGCTTAGGCGAAACGTTCTTCCGTTAGTTGGCACAGAAGAAGGACCTCGGTGTGGCCAGTGAGAGTGAAGTGACTGGGAGGCCCTGTTCAACAATTTTGTCAGGTCCCTGGATTGATCAGAAAGAACCACGAACACGTCATGGTGAGCAACAGCGCAAGTAAATCTCCGTGACCTGAAGCGACTTACCAATGTCGTGTTTATTGTTCCAGGAGTTGATGTTGTACCAGTAGCATCTCAGCTCATCCAAATCCAGCTCTTGCTCAGTGCGGTTACATCGACAATGTCGTTCCCACTCCCGAAGACGGTCTTGCAGTCAACAAGCCTTATACTTCACGCTGTGTGAGTAAGGCTGTATCGAGTACAGGTTTAAAGTCCCAGACTGATCTCTTGCGTAAAATTCGACCTGATGGAGATAGGTAGCGCCGAGTTTTGTTAAGGCTTAACATTATATACGTGGTCGCGAACTTAAAGTTATGTGCTAGTATGTTGACGCGTTGTTTGTGCCGGGGACGAGATGCCTGCAGTGCCAACTCCTCGGACTCAGGCAGGTACCAAACGATATCGTCACCAAATTCAACATCTTGTACTAAAAGTACTTGTAACTCACTTGACCATTTTTACTGCGTCGAAGGAACTCTCTGAAAAGTAGACGCAACCACTTTGGAGGGCTGGTATGTTGAAACTGACACTCTGATTCAGAATCTAACATTGCTCCTTGGCAGGGGAGGGACTGACGGTAGAACTATGAAATACTCCTGCAATTGGGTTCTTCATCTACCAGGGACATCCAGTCAGGCCGGCGGCCAGTTGGCAGAATCCTCGACTTCTGCCACCCGTGGAGTAGGTGCGACTCGCGGCTGTCATGACCTCGGACATACTTAATGCCATTTAACATCAGCATCCATTTGTCTCATTATGCGAGCATCGGACGCACAGGTAGATGGAAGCTGATGTTCAGGACTCGAGGCAACAGATCAGTCAGTATTGTCGAAAGTCCGGCAGTTTGTTCAACCGAGTACAACTCACACTGCAGATGGGTTCCCCTGATGTGCACCATAAAGTAATCTGGCGTGTTGTGACACGTTATTTTCCGTGCCTGCCGGCAACAGCTCAAGCTATAGTAGTATTTTCTGGTAAGTTGAGCATGTAATGCTGATAGTTGCCTTGTATATTCAGCGACCTGAAAATTTCTCTCAGAGCACGTCTAACGGCAGACTCAATGCTTCACAACCTCAAATTTCGACTCTCGGGCATATTGCACGTATTTGGGCCTAGTGCTTTCGCCATTAGCATCATTTTGAACATCTTCACCATACTGCGCTTGCAACATCAGTCTGTCGATGATAAACAGTACTGTATGTCGAGGTCGTCCTTACTGACAGCCATCTCATCAGCATATTTGATGCAGCTTATATCGGTAATGATCATCCGATCGAATTACCCCTCGACTTGGAGATCGTCGCATTGACGTTTGAAGACTCGAAGTATTACAGTACTTCGGGGCTCACGGCCTGGTCGGAGTGGAATCTGCTCGATCACTTTCAACAAGGCCACGGATTCGTGCGTCTGGGAGCAAATGGTAAGTAAGCATTTATTCTATTCTCGTCAGTGCATGAGTCAGACACTTGATTCTATCAGGGCGACTGTTTGGTGTCTCGATGTTTCACCAGCTTCATTGTCTACAAAAGATTCGATTAGCCCTTATTAATGGGCCCAATGATCATAGTGGCCACTGCCTCAACTTCTTGCGACAGGCCATTCTTTGCAATTCTGATACTACCCTCGATCCAGTCTACACCAATGGATCGGTGTCAGGCTCAGACGGCTTGGGTGTCACGCACATATGCCGAGATTGGTCGCAGGTTTATGCGTACATTGAGGAGAATCAGAGGAGCCCTGTGTGGGCAGAGCACAAGACAGAGATGTAATCATAATGCGAAGTCAAGTGGGAGGATCTGATTTCGCACTAACGCTGGATGAGATCAGCTCGTAAAATACTTACTTATAAATCTCAGTTGGTGCTCGAAGCGGTAGCCGAGTCCAAGGCTATTCAATGTCGAGGGTTTATCTGAGTGACAAGGCAGCATTTCTCTCATGTGCACCGTGATTGTATGATAAAGGTTCTGGTCATTGTCTCGGTGCTTGAATCGGATGTCAAGCGCAGTCGCAGGGTTATTCAATGGAAGGTTAGGCTAGCATGAGTATCGAGTAGAAATTGATCGATCGCGGGTACCCAAGAGTCGTTCAAGGTGATATGCGATAGGGATGCATGAAGGCTGTCAAAGCATGGGCGGTGTCAGGGAAGACGTAAATGCAACATAACATGTCATATTCATTCTTGATCCATAATTAAGTACGATGCAAAACTCCAAGATCCAGAGCTCCGTCATCCAACTTCCATCCAAATAGCATGTAGAACATATACCGAGCGACATGGTGAGATACGATAACTACGTCCAGCGTGCAATAAGGTTTATCCGATAAACATATAGACGATACACCAAGCAACAATGAAGAGAGGACAACACCGAGAAAAAGAAACATTCGATGCGGAAGGAGTGTGAATGTTGGTTGTACAATGATTTGGCCCAATATATGAAAGAATAAAACAAGTATCGTAGTCGTGAAGATAGACAAGTTTCGTGAAGAATCGGAGAAAATACTAGATCACGGCAACAGGAAGTTAGCAAGAGTGACAGATTGGCAGGCCAAGGGGGACGTACAGTCGTACGCTAGACTATGTCGTGTTGCGGGCAGGAACAATATACCCGTAGACCAATTTCTTCGGGTCTTGGAGAGTGAACTTGCGACGTCCCTTCTTAGCACGGTCCTTGCTTTCAAGGAGCGGTCCGCATGTCGCTTGATGCCGATCCAAAGAATCGGATCTCGACCACCGCTTTCCGCAATAAGGGCATTCACAAGACGTAGTATAGTGGACGCTCTCAACGTGACGGCCCAAACTGAGCATCGCTTCTGATCTTGAGCAATCCTCGAATTTGCAGGCAGTCGTGTCTGTGGATTTTACACCGTGCCAGTGCAACAGGTGATGTGCGACGCGGGCCTTGTTCATTTCTACAAACAGCCCGCAGGGCTGGTCCGTCCAACCGCACGCTCGTACGCAAGTCATCCCTGCGGGTAGTTCGTTCGTAATCTTGACGGTACGCTTGGAGTAGGAATCGTCGAGTTCCATCGCTCCAAATCTCCTAGTTCGAAGAAGATTACCGTGGGCATCATGAGTCCTGCGGCTGCTGATATCTACCGGCTTCGGGTCGTGAACGGGCATACCCATGACTACGGCAGTAGCGTCCGCTAGTCTGTAAAAACCAAACTTCCCCTCTCGGATTTCTTCTTCGTCGTCGTCGTCCAAGCATCTGCGCTTGCGGGTGGTTAGCGCGGGAGATGAACTGGAACCATCTTCCTCGGATTTAACGGTATGGCGAGTTTTACGCTTGAGACGTTTGGCGCACATCTGCCCATTGGGAGCGGAGGAAGATGGCTCCAAGCTGTTGTCATCACTCAGATACATTGTCGCGTCAGAGTCAGATGCGGACGGCAAAAAGGTTTCGGTATCCGACATCGTGTCCATGATGGCACTAGCGTATGCGTTGCCGGTATAATCCGTTGTCGAGGGGATAGACACTTCAGCCTGTAAATGCGCATTTTGCTCTTGAGAGAACGGAGGTCGGGGGCCATATGCGCGGGGATCCCCCGCTGCCCAAAGCTCTAGGTCGACGACAGTGGGAAAGTAATTTTGAGCAAAATTAGGTCCATTCGCATACGAACCACCATCATAGCCATACTGGGACCATGCGGGGACTTCCAGTGACGCTTGAGGGACGGAAGAGGGCTGCGGAAAATAGTGTTGGCTCGGATCGAATGGGGGAAATTGGGGGAGACCAGCCACCGGAGCGGTGAACTGGTTCAACGTTGGAAACGACATTTGAGTATTTGGAACATCCGGTAAAGATGCTGAAGACCTGGAAAAATGAATGAGCAATGGTGGACACTCAGTTGGGGTGGCACGTACCAGTGATACGCCTTTAGGTATTCATCTTCCTCGCAGGCCCGAGCCCATCTGCCACGGGCCGTCAGTTGAGTCGATGTTTGGATTGAGGTAGAACTACATACTCAGCCCGGATGGCGGACACATCTTCATAAGATAACTCTTGGGCGTCTTCCGAGACCGTGTCAGCGATGGCTTCGTTGTGGATTCCAGGTTGAGAACACGAAAGGATAGTCCCGCTAAAAAAAAATTATGAGATGGAGCGTGCCATCTGACTCGAGATTGAATACTAACCTATCCAACGACATCTGAAGACTGTCGTATGAGGCACTAAATGCATAAGGCATCGTCAGTATATACCGAGTCGACATGTGAGTAGACTTACCTAGACATATCAATGATTTGAACAAGTAATATTAAATGGTTAAGATGAAGTGGCAAGGGAAAGAGGACGAAGAGATGGAAAAGTGAAGGAGAGAACGCTAGGTTTTTAACCTTACAACATGCGGAGAAGCACTATACAAAGCACGCCTGTGGACGAGCATTATGCCCCGACAACATGTCGCAAAAAGGCAAGCGTGTGTGGTCGCTTACATATTTGTGGCGTCTATTCAACTGCTTTGAAGCACCATGCGTGCATCAATCCACAAATGCACAAACCTTTCACTACACGTCGCTCATCCGTTGTTAGACCTAGACGCGCGTGGGGCGATGAAGTAAGTATTGGCACTTCCTCACTAAAGGATATGACATTACTAGTGCGTGCAACAGTACAACTCCGTCAAAATCCGAAGTATCGCAACAATGAGATTTTCGTGAAGGATGGTCACGGCACACTCAACTACAACCGCGAGCTTTGATAATGGTACCAGCTTGAGACAGCAACAAGCGACCTCCAGCACAAGCGGGCAGCTGATATATTACAGCTGAATATTGTGCGGTAGAGGAACATAAGATGTGAAGGCGCTTAGTACCCCAGGCCTGAAACTTCTGACATATCATGTAGTGTGAATTGCATGTTTAATTGCAAACGTGCAAAGACACTTGCCTTCGCTGTTCATTGCGTTGTGACCCAGCCTAGTCCTTGCCGCTGAGGTGAGAATTGGAGGGCTTGATATCATCTAACCACTCAATGGACACCGAAATACTTTTTCAGATCGAAACCATGGTTTGACATTAGCGTTTATGTGAAGATGTTAGGAGCTAGGCGGCAATGTAACAGAGAGAACGCAGCCCGTAATACCTTCATTATCATGAAATGAGGGTAGCATTCTCTGGACTAGTTTGAGATGTCAACAGCTTCATTTTGGATGATCGGATCACTTCAAGTTGAAGATACGTCACATATTTGTTCAGCCTGAGATAGCCATATCAACATGCGTTATCATGATTCGGTCAGAGGTATGATGAAGCTGCACGCATAATACAAGGTTCGTGTCGATATCAGAATTCACCGTGGTTACTGGTAAGGAGTTGTGCTAGACAACTCGGACTCGGAGCAAAGCGTACGCGTTGTTTTGGTCCGTTGTCCAAAGGCTTCCGAGAGTTTCCTTATGTGGAAGCTGCACATTGCAAATCACTAGGTTCTCGACAAGTCTTTGACCATGTTTCAATGTGCAACCTCGTGTATGTTTCTTAAGCAGGCTACATGTAACCAGTAGAATATTCACCGAGACGCTGGTCACACTCAAGCTATGGTAGCTTTTCTGCATAGCAGCAACTGGCCAATAAACTGAAGAAATAAACTGTTACTATTAAGTAGGGCTTAACATTACTAGATGTGCTTTCGATTAATGGTACGCAGTGTCCCTGACAACCACTACGGGACAGACAAAAAAGTGGTAGTTCCATTCCTGCAGAAGGATTGTTTGAATGTCTGATCAAATATCAAAAATGCTAAAGTTTCATCCGCCCATGTAGTTTTAAAGGCACACCGCTTAGCACAAGCAGGGCAAAAATCTAGGCGAGTTTGAGGCTAAGTACCGTGACCGAATGCGCTGTAGGCCGTTATCTCGCAATCTTGTAGTCCAACGAGAGGTCATAGGAACCGCGCTCGGCCCGATACCCCCAATCGATCCTGTTTTCCTTGAAGCTTGAGGCTTGAACGTCTGCTGGAGATCAGCTGTAGGAGGCTGCTAGTTTCTTCCCATTACAGGCACCGTTAAAATGCCAAATGTGACATGTGACAGTTGAACCCGCGTGATCGGGTTTTTTAGAGTACGTGCATATGATAAATGCAGCCCGACAGGCTGCTGCAACCACTGCTGCGTGGATTATAGGCAGGTCTTTACGCGCACGAGCCTCCACACCATCTGAAGCATCTATCCTAGTCATGTGGGGGTGCCCAAGAATTTGAAGAAGAATTATGTGCCAAGTCTTAGCCTTCTGGTGAGGTCACGGTGAAATGAATCATAATCATCACTACTAACTATTCATAAACTATGACAGTTGATTTATCATAGATCAATATCATGGTGAGCAGAATCGGCCGAAAAGATTTGATTGTTGACAGTTCCCATAGTAGGTTTCCGGTTAGCCCATTTTTTTGGGTAGAACGCCATGCAAACGCCATGTTGACCACCCTTGCTGCAAGATGGCGTTCTATCATACGCCCTATCACGCCCTATCACACGCCATCACCCACCCTATTGCGCCACTTCTCCGCAACTGAGTCATATGTGGTAGAATTCTATCGGTAGTCGATCGGTAGGCTCTCTCTATGTTGAAATGCTGATAGCTATAGGCTCATTGACCCCAGAACGCTCATATATCTAGCATGAGTCGTGGCTAGCTTGAAGTCTTATCTCTTCCCTCCTACCTTTTCGCTCACGACCGCTCGCCACAATGGGTGCTGAAAAGACAGACGCTACTGCTGATCACACTAGCAAAGGCGAATTCTCCGATGTCTCAGGCCATGATGGAGAGTCTCTTCAGGGGCCCTCGCGATACACCCTGCAACGTAAACTCAAGAATCGTCACATTGCCATGATCAGGTGTGTTTAATTTTCTTCTTTTTTTCTGGCGAATTCACACCTCCGTCAAGTATTGGCGGTGTTATCGGTACTGGTCTTTTTGTTGGAACCGCAAACTCTCTGAGTTATGGAGGCCCCATCGGTCTGTTGCTCGGCTACATCGTGATGGGCACCATTGTCTATTGCGTTATGATTAGTTTGGGAGAAATGGTATGCTTGCTGCATGTCTTACACGTAGATCACATACCTGATCTTCATTTCCATAGGTTGCTTACCTACCTATACCTGGTGGTCACATCAAACTCGCCGAGCGCTTCGTTGACCCTGCGTTCTCTTTTGCTATGGGTTGGAATTACTGGTATGACTGGGCGATTGGTTGTACGTCTTATTTTTCCTCGTTCATTTTTCACAATTACTGACCTTTCACTTTTCAGCACCTGGTACTTGAGTTGGATGCATTTTCTTGACATGCCTGCTGACATTTTTTCATCATCTCAGCTGAAATTGCTGCTGCTGCATTATTGATAAATTATTGGAATTACACTGTCAATGATTCAGTATGGGTCGTCATATGCCTTGCCGTTGTTGTCGCCATTAACATGCTTGGTGCTGGTGCTTACGGCGAGGCGGAATTCATATTTGCGTGCGTACCGAGTACTATATCCCGATCTCGCTTTCTGAGATTACTGCAGATCCATTAAGGTCATCACAATCACTGGTCTTATTATTCTCGGTATAATCATCGATTTGGGAGGTGGCCCAAACCGTGACCGCATTGGATTCCGCTACTGGAAAAATCCTGGACCATTCGTTCAGTATAATGGCATTCAAGGTGCCAAGGGACGATTCCTTGGCTGGTGGGCTGTTCTGATCCAGGCTGCTTTCTCGTTCATTGGAACCGAAATTGTTGCTGTACGTTATATTCTAGGGCTATCAATAAATATATTGCTTATGAATCTCACCTAGATTGCTGCTGGAGAAGCGAAGAATCCTCGTCATACCTTGCCCAAAGCCATCCGTCGAGTATACATCCGTATATTACTTTTCTACATCGGTGGAACACTCGTCATTGGTCTGCTTGTACCATCCAACAACCCATTACTCGTATTGAACAGTGGAACCGCCCAGTCTCCATTCGTCATTGCTATCGAAACAGCTGGAATTAAATTTCTTCCTTCGGTAAGCCGCACATGGCCTTCCCTTGATTTCTTATTGACTTATTCAAAACAGATCATCAATGCTTGTTTGTTGACCTCTGCCTGGTCCAACTCATCTAGTTCCTTGTACACTGCATCTCGTGCGATTCGTGAGTGTGCTTATCCGGTGGCCAACTCATCGAGATTAATGAACTTCGTAGATGGTCTTGCAGCCTCAGGAAATGCTCCCAAAATCTTCCTTAAAACCACACGCAACGGGTTGCCTTACGTTGCTGTCCTCTTCACAGCCATTTTCTCCTTTCTTGCCTTCATGGCCGTGTCCAAGGGTGCGGGCTCAGTGTTTAACTGGTTGTCCGACATGACATCCGTCGCTGGCCTTATGACGTGGTTTGGTATTTCTGTAACATACCTCCGCTTCTACAAGGGCATGCAGGTTCAAGGCATCGACCGCAAGACGCTCCCTTACTACACAAATCTCCAGCCATACGCAGCATGGTGGGGGGTAGTTTCGACGATCACCATCTGTTTCGTATGTCAACTTTTCATATTCATTGATACTGTCTGGACTGACTATTCTTCTACACTCTAGTTCAGCGGATGGAGTGTCTTCCTCGAAGGTAGTTGGAATAC